CATTTGTCAGACAATTCCTCACTTAGCACATTAAATGACAAAATAGGTCGACAACTTTTGAAGTGTTTTAACAAAGTTTGGTTGATAAATTTTCCATTACTTTTTGTACATTTTCCACCGAACCACGCACTGACATCTATCACGCGGTTAAGACTAGTTCTGGCAAAGCGTGCCAGTCTGCATTACGCGCCCATAACGTTGTAAATCGGCCGCCAGTTACTTTATCGCCCCTAATTAGATCTCGCGGGATCTCGGGAACGGGTCAGATGGTCACAGGCTCTAAGTACCCGGATAATCCCCGCCTTGCCTGAGCTGAAATCACTTGTGTTGCTAACGAAGAAGAAAGAGACATTTTGTCCTGTCAGCGCTAGATTCAAACGTAGTTAAGTCAAATTAGACTAACCTCGTTCGCGTCTTACACACCACAAGGAGTCCCTCCTAGGTAATTTGTTTCCGATTAATTGACAATTTAATCTTTTCCCTCTCAAATCTTGATGGATACTGTATGTGGCAGCGAGCGGGTTGGGTCTCCATTAAACTATACTGTGGTAAAAAGCCGCTACCGATCACCGACAATAGAAGAGATGAGTTCTTGACAGTTTGAAATTATAAAATAGCTTAACTTGACACGGGCCGTGAGCACATTTGTGCTTTTCCCAAACACCGCCTGAACACTATTGTATATTAAAACCCTAACTGAGAAACATTAATTTCATATGGTGGGGCTTTTGTATGGCTATATTAGCCGATAATTTGGATTTAATATGACCATGCGAATGGTTTCGAGTTACCTTTTGAGAGTTGGGCTCACAATTGTGCCTCGAACATAGACAGCTGGTAAATAAAAGGCGGACAGAAGACGCTGCATTATTCTTTAAAAAACTATTATCTCTTTAAAATTTGATTAAGAGGACCGCCAAGTAACTCATAATTTACATGGCCATACTCAACATAGCTGAGAAAATTAGGTGTAATCTATGGCCATATGAAACTACTTGATCACATTTTCGTATATGAATAACATGGGCGAGGTAGCTTTCATAACCTTTTAGTCAAACATACATCTTTTAGCTTTGCAATAATGTCGATAAGAAAATAAGATCATTTCATGTAATTGTGTTTTGTTTATATATGTTCTACATGATGACGTTCCGTGTTATTGCATACTTCTGAAAACTCGAATCAAATTTAATTAAAGATATTTTAGTTTAAAAACCTACCTGAATTGATAAAGGGCGATCTTTTTAATATTATTAATTCACTGTAAATTACAATTGAACATAATGAGTTTTCAATCAGTACTGTAAAACCGTCGTTTAGTTTGTTTGGGATAACGATTATATTAACTTTTTCAAATAATTATTTTTATATGTAGAATTAGATAGGTAATAGAACAATATGACCGCAAACAGCCCAAACAAACCACAATAAAGCGTTCTAGAAATAATTTATTTTCAAATTGAAATGTACTTAATTATATTAATAAAAATCCAGACATATATTTCTGAGACTGTAATGTATTCTGTTTCTTAATTGAAGCATAACCATGTTGACGGTCTTAACCGAACATATAAATAATTATAGCCTTTGCTCAGTGACAATGAAGTAAGCATGGTTGTTGGTACTACTTTCTCAATAATTTTATTGCGTTTAAGCAATCCTCTCTACTCAACCTTGACAATGGCTTAACACACAGATGATCATTTTGTAAAAGACTAATCACGAACCTCAAAGGCTAACAGATTTCTCCTTTGGTCATAACGATGACCTCAATAACATTAATTAGCTCTTTGATCAAGTCCACAGTGCGCAACAGGAGGCGCTGACCTGTCAACTCCAGCCAATCACGTGGAGCTTTGTCATTTACTGCGGAAATAATTAGAGATCCGCACAAACACATTTGGCGCTGAGTTGAATGGTCATTGATTGTATGCAGTACAAACGGCATGATTGGAGTGTATGACAAATGGCGTTTGTGTAGGTGTTGATAACCATCTGGTCAGCTGGAATGGACAGTCACAGGTATTGACATCTGACAAATGGTTTCATTAGCTTTTGTAATGATCTAATACAGCAGGGAGTGTTTGCCAAAAAATCACGGACCGACAGAAACATGGCCATGCTGCACCCCACGTTGCTCACCGTAGGAACGTGAATACGCACTTCAAACTTTTATTATAAAATATGACGTATATGGTTTTACCACTGCAAATGAGGACGCTTCGAGACAATAGTTTATACTCCCCAAAAATAGGACCATCTTACATTTAACGTTGTGCTCAGAAAGAACCTTAATATGGACTACAATGTTTTTACATAAGAATATGTGATATATACTACTCAAAAGAAGTTAAAGAACACTCGATCCCTTAAAGTAGTCTTTCCTTCTTTTAAGTAGTATATATGGGTTTACCCTAACAAACGAGGACGCTTCAAAATGACAGTTGACACACGGACTGCCCAAAATACCTCAATTTGTTTGTTTGTTTGCGTCTTCAGAACAATATTATATGTAATTCTGTATACTGCGAATATGCTGAATTCTGAGGAGCCCTAACAATATGTTCTTAATATCCGGTGTTCGTGATTCACACGAAATAAAAAACGTTTTCAAAAATAATTTGGTTACATGTTTGTTTTATTCGGGATTGGCTGTGTATCCAAGTCTGTTGGCTATTCGTCAGTTATATCGACGTCATCACTGCTTCGTGAATGCAAACGTTTCGATAAATCCTACTTCGTTTGATCATTTACTGTGACTCTGACTGTGTTGAACAGGTGTATCAAGGATTAATATGGGAGGAAAACCCAAAGTGACGACTGCTTCTTTTGGTGCAAACAATCCATGGGTTAGGTGAGGTGAAATGGGGTTTAACGTCGCGTTATATAGCGACGTGCATGTACCTGTGTGTGTGTGTGTGCGACTGATGCCAATTTATAGTGCTAGCTCACTGAGATACCATGCCACAGTTTAACATGAATACCCCACTCAGACACAGTATACTGACTCCTTGTTTTAGCCCCTTAATGCCAAGCGCCAGACAGGGTAACAACAAGTACCATCTTTTAGTATGGCGCGGCCAGGGATCGAACCCGAGACCTTCCGCTCTCCGGGCGGACGCTCTACCACTAGACCACGGAGGCGGTCAACACTCCATGGTTCATAATCGGGGTGAATTATTACAGTTATATCACGCCGTATTAGCTGATTGTGGGAGAAAAACCTAAAGCGATGTAGGTCGGAGTGAGAGAAAACGAGGCAAGAGGCATACTTCGGAATATTTTTTATTTCATTCTCATATTTCATAAATAATATGTAAAGTCAAAAAAGATATCACCATGAGAATGTTCAATAATTATTTTATAGTAAAGTATTGGTGTAAATTATTTCAAACCTCGGCCTTTGACTACCTCATTTCAAAACAGGTTGTTCAGTCACTGAACTTGTGCAATGGCAGAACCACACGACGCTCTACAAACACCAGTCGATGTGCATATGAGTGACTGAGTTGTGTTTAACGCCGCTTTTAACATTATTCCAGTTATATCACGGTGTGTCAGCTTAATGTGGGAGGAAAGCCCGAAATGATGCAGGTCTCAGACGTTTACCATTTCGGTGAAATCCACGAGCACAGCCAATTGCGGCGCCTTAGACGACTGGGCCCCCCGTGCCCCCAGAGGTAATGAGAGAGAGAGAGAGAGAGAGAGAGAGAGAGAGAGAGAGAGAGAGAGAGAGAGCGTGTGTGTGTGTGTGTGTGTGTGTGTCTTAAGTTTATGTAAGAAAGCAGTTTATATATGATGAACAATGTATTCAAAGACGTCAATTCTCAGTGTGGTATAATTATGTGATACGTTTTCAGTATCATTGGTTTGATGTTTTACGCCGCACTCAGCAATTTTGCAGCTATACCATATGGAGGCGGTTTGTAAGTAATCGAGTCAGGACCAGACAAACCAGTGAGTCACATCAGGAGCATCGATCTACGCAATTGGGATACGAACACATGCATCAACCAAGTCAACGAGTCTGACCACCCGATCCCGTTACACGCCTCTTAAGACAAGCATGGGTTGCTGAAGACCAACTCTAACCCGGATCTACAACGTTTTTGAGATAGGTACCCATGAGGGAGTGACAATGTAACCTCGAAAAATATTTGGGAATAAGATTTGGGAAATACGGAAAGTACTCCATTTCTTGGTGAAAAAATACATTCCTTGTTGAAAGTAAAGAACACAAAAAAGAGAAATTTGTCTGTAGCAAAAGCAAATGTCCATTCAAAACGCCATGCAGGTAAATATCATTATATATTTCGGAAGTACACACCACAGATATCCCCCTTTATTGATAACAATAAATATATTAAGTAAACTATCTATATTTAACAATTAGGAAATATAAACGAAATGCCCCTAACCAAAGAATGAAAAAAAGCAAATAATATCTTCATAATGTTTTACAGGTCGTACGGTAGTTGGTTTTCTATGGCTCATAATAGTATTGATATTGGTCGGTTACATTTAACCCGCAATCAGTACAATTCTGTTGTACAAGGCAATACATTTCAGTTTTTTCCGGAGTTTACGGGTTTGTTTGTTTTTTATTGCCCGTCCGCTGTTGTTTTGATAAAGTTGATAAATTGAAATATATGTCTACAAATATTACCAAAAGAAATCGCTACGTTATGTAATTCATTAATGCTTCAAATCGTAAAATTTATCATGCAGAACATTGGACTGAACACACATGAGAACAAATACTTTTATGAGAGTAGGAGTGCTTGTTAATGTACAAATCATGCAACATTAAACTTAAACGTATGCAGAGTCAGTCAGTATGGTTTTACGCCGCTTTTAGCAATATTCCAGCCACATCACGGCGGGGGACACCAGAAATAGGCTTCATCCATTGTTTCATGTGAAACGTTTTTAGAATTTAGTGACCAGCACATAGGCCGACAGAATGTTGCACCGATTGAGTTAAAAAATATTCTGATACACATTTTTCCTGTTGTTTTTATTTTGACCAGTGAAAATTCCACAAACACACATACAAGAAAAGTGCCACCGAACGGGTCAATTAGTACAATGCAGTGAAAACAAGTGTTATGTGGTGAATACAATGCCACAATGTGGTGGAAACAAGTGTTATGTGGTGAATACAATGCCACAATGTGGTGGAAACAAGTGTTACGTGGTGAATACAATGCCACAATGTGGTGGAAACAAGTGTTATGTGGTGAATACAATGCCACAATTTGGTGGAAACAAGAAATGTAATGTGGTTATAAAGAATTACAGTAGAATAAAGCAGGGTAGCAAAACGTTTTTCACAATACATCTGGAGAAGCAACGCGGTTTAAAAAAAGATTGTATGGAGAGCTCCAATTGGGAAGAAACACGGTTGCAATACGGTCCAAACAGTTACGACAGCAAAGAAACACATTACCGATACATTTATACACAGTGTTTTATAGAGAGGAAACAGTAAAAACACCCTTGCAATGCGGTTAATGCAGAGTTACAACAGAGAAGAAACACATTCGCAATATAGAGAGAGAGGAAACAGAGAAGAACACAGTTGCAATACGGTTAATGCAGTTACAATAGCGAAGACACAGTTGCAATACGGTTAATGCAGTTACAATAGCGAAGACACACAGTTGCAATACGGTTAATGCAGTTACAATACAGAAGAAACACAGTTAGAATAGAGTTTATACACAGTGACAAAGTGTGTTATAGAGAGGAAATAGAAAAGAAACAGTTGCAATAAGGTTCATATAGAGTTGCAATACGGTTATTGCAGTTGCAATAGAGAAGAACCACAGATGCAAACGGTTAATGCAGTTATAATAGAGAAGAAACACTGTTGAAACAGAGTTTATACACAGTGACAAAGTGTGTTATAGAGAGGAAATAGAGAAGAAAAACAGTTGCAATGCGGTTAATTCAGTTACAATAGAGATGAAACACATTGGCAATATAGTTTATACAGTGGCGTTGTGTGTTAGAGAGAGTGGCAATAGAGAACAAACATGGTTGCAATAAGTTTCATATAGACTTTCAATAGAGAACTCAATACAGATGTGTCGTGTTTTATACAAAGTTGCAACATAAAATACAGTTGCAACTGACAAGAAACATCTTTCCGATTTGGTTAAACTGTGGCAATGGTTTTACAGAGTTGCAACACAGAAGAAACACGGCTGCAATACGCTTGATACAGAGTTGCAACAGAGAATATAAACTGTTGCAAAACGCTTCATAAAGTGTTGCAATAGAGAAGAAATGTTGCATCATGGTTCATACAATGTTGAAATAGGGAAGATGTAATGTAAATATATATAAAGGCAACACACTTTATGTATATTTACATTACAAAGGAAACAGCCACAATAAGACTAATCTAGTAGGGTAGCAATATAGTAAATTCAGCTTTAATGCTCCTGATAAACTGGTTTGTTTCAAATTTATATCCATTTAGGGGAGGTCATTCAATCTCGTCACGTTGCAACACATACTTGCGACAGTTTATACAGCTGCGACTAACGGTTTGTACAACATTGCAACACAATTTAACGTATATCTTTCTTAACCCGTTGTACCCTCGGAACAGAATAAAGTCACCATGTTATTTGAAGTAGGTTTGCAAGCGGACTAACAACAGTAGGAATCACATATCTGCTAGCACTTTTATAAAGACATTAATAACTGTGAATTTCATTGCTGTAAACCAACATCCATGGAAAACTTTACAAGACATAATAAATATATTGTTTGTATACAAATGAGAACAAAGCAAAAAAAGTCTTAAATTTTTCCACATACAATCATTCGCGAATACACAGCACTATCATAATTTCATTTACACTTATTTCATTGCAATGCGTAAAATGTGATTCCGCTGATTCGGGGTCAATTAGTCGGTCAATTAGTCTAAACCGATATACTCCTCGCCATAGCATCAGCATGAATGGTCCTGACTTATGTTTTATCTTAAGATGGCGTTAGTCCAATCCATTGAGGTTCCGGAAGTTGTCGCTGATGGAAACGATGTCTGGGAAGCTGTATTGGAAGGTTTCTGTGAACGCTCGGACTTCACGAAGGCACCGGTCAAAGCGTCCCCTAGTGCAGTAGATCCCCGGGGGGTAGTAGTTGTCGTCGCAGACCCCCAGAACTCCGACAGCTGTTTTCCAAGCACAGAGCGCCAGCAGAGAGGGGCTGTATTGGCAGAGTTGATAGTCTTGTAGCGACATCTCTAGGATACAGCGGGACATGGCGCGGCATTGTCTGCGTACAAATGCATAACCGTTAGTGTTTGTTCATATTTCAGGGGGGGGGGGGGGGGTCTTCAGAGGAATGTGTCGACGATGTGTTGTTTAACGCCGCAGTCGGCACAATTTCAGATCTATCACCACAGCGTGTAAATAAGAGTGCTTTGGCCAGGCAAACCAGTAATTGATATTATACCACTCAAAAGAAGTCAAAGAACACCCGATTCTTTAATGCATGGTATGACAGATTAAATTTTGTTATATGAACGAATAATGTGTTCTTCAATTCATTTGAGTAGTATATATGAGTAAAGCCCCGCGCCATCGGGGTACTGTGACATGCCATTCAACCAGGTCGCCGAGCCTGACCACTTGATCAGGAATGTCGCCTCTTACGACAAGCATAGGTTGCTGGGGACCAATTCCAATCCGGGATCCCAATGTGTGTTTCAGAGTTCAGGAGGAGGAAGTTCCGTTTTGGCACACAAGATCCGGAATCCGCACGGGTTTATTATGTGAGGAATGATGACAGTTTAGGTAATAATTGTATAACGAATTTCTAAACTAATTCCCAAACTAAAGACGTCTTTGAAATGTAACTCCATAACTAATGAATACAAATAATACGTCTACATCAACACCAGAGTTGTAGCCATGCTGAAAAAGCTTCATTGGGTATTTACGCGTGCTGTTTTTATCCATTTGAGTTTTTCATTTAATGCATGCGTTTCTGTACGCAAGTTAATTGAGAGGAATTCGGTTTTGAATATTTTTTTACGCAAATACGCTGCTTATCTGTAGCTCTTAAACCACAATCAGTTACGGACGAGTATACCAACTTAATTGACTAATCATACACGAGTAGGACAGCTGAGGAAAATAAATAGGAGGGCAATTTGGTTAATATGGGGGGTAGATATGGGTGACGCCACATCCTTTGATACACAAGGAGGGGTGTATGGGTGGGCCGACGGGAGGACGTTCATAACGTGCTAGCATACACACGGCTAATCCGGGGGATAATACCGGTCAATGTCAATCTTCAACGCAATTTGTTGGAAGGAATATGGATGAACATGCTGTACATATTTTGTAAAGTTATCATATTTCAGCGTCACAATACCAGGCTACGACGCTTATTAAACTGAAGTTTTTTGCACTCAGGCCATAGTCTGTAGATATAATATATACCATGCAATTAAACAAATATTATGTTCAGTTTATACAGTTACATATGACATTAAGATTTTAATATTATTCCACGTTTGAAACAGTGCCGGTGGATACTTAAAACCAAATGACAAAAATAGAATACAGAACAGACAACAGAATATTTGTTTAATGCTTTATGTGCCTTAACAACTTGACACACGTATGAAACATCTTCCAAATCAGCAGCTGAAGCAGGTGGGAAGTACAAACGTTATAATGTTGTCGGACAAGTTATTTTTGTTTAATAAGTGTTCAGGAATCCACTTCAACCCCCACATATCACCCACACACGCCTTATTTTCTATTTAAGATTTGTAAATATTAATAAGATCTTTATCTGACATCGAACCTTTGAACTGATCCCTTTGTGGGAACAAAGTTCGAAAAAAATATGTAAGGGTGCATTATTATCTATGAACGTGTTGCCATCCTATTCCAATGATGTTATCCTTTATAGCCATAACCGATCGTGAATCTTCAGCATTAAGCATCCATCTCATGACTGCTTTTCACTCTTTTCTCTTCAGCATTACATAAATAATGTCAATTTCATTCAAAGTGTCAAAATGTTAACAATTCAGAAAGTGACACTCTTTAACGAGGGGGCAAGAGTGCACTTTTTAAAGTAGGCAAACGTTTATTTAAACATTTCAAGTGTGATTTCAAAACTAAATTTGTACTTTTTTCTCTAAACTAACGAAGCGCATGCTTCAGGAGACGGTTACTAAATTAAAACACTTGAGGTGGAGAAGGTGCTCACTCTGTTTGTATGCTACGAGGTCTGTGATTCAAGTGTCACACCAGAGCGACTCCATAACGCGAACAACCGAACTTGAATCAATTCACCTCCGTCTAACCAAGCCTTCCACACCATTAGACTTTCTAGCCTTTTAATAAGCATACAAGAGTTGCCTCAATCCACGTTGGCTACACAAAGACAGCAATAACTGGGGTATAATGGCCCAACACTCGTCCGGAGCCGCCAAGTAGAGGGGGGAGGGGCCGAGACGCTGCCACAAACACGATGTGTTAGACCTAGTCTTCTTCTCTTCAAATGTACAAATACAACCAATAATCGGGCTGAATAACATTTGAACGGGCAGAAAGAAGCACTTGAGAAATTGTGTGCGCCGTAATCACGGCCCAGCGGAGAGGTAGTCAATTAGCGAAGGGGATTCAGATCTGTCAATGCGTGTCATCCGTCTTAGGAAAATTCGGATTTATTTTTTTCAAATTGTTCTAGAGCAAAATATGTACGTTATTTTCCTCCCGACTGCCTGCCATTATATGCACGGACACGCTAATCATTGGACACACCAGGGGGCGCTGTGCCTGTGTTTAGCAGCGCCCCCTACCGGGTTACCTGGAGGCTATTTTCCAGACAACTCTTGTTTAGATGGGGCATCTCGAGTTACTAATACTTAAAAAATTACACGATAATTTACAATATTTTGTTCAGTTACATAAGTGGCATAAGTATGATGGCCCGGAGCCAATGAACTAGCTCGTACTATAACAAGCTCGGCCCCGCCTCGTTATCATCTCGCGCTCTTCACCTCATTCATAAGTGAATTTAATGCGCACAAAAACATCCTTATAAAAGAGATTTCCTGTTTTCAATTCAACCACTTAGGACACAGTACCTGGACTGTTACAGGGAAACGAACTTTAGAATTCGCCCATGAAATGCTGACTTCTTGAACATACCAAGATCGTCGAGTAGTCCACAAGGCATCCTTGAGTCGGTAAAGTTTGTATTGCTCGACAAATATTGAATACATAGGAATGCTGATGTTATTTTAACATTTGTATGCTGTCATCAAGCAGTTCAATGTTAGCATTCATCATGTAGGTTCATCGCAAAACACTTGACCACCACACGACATGGGGCAAACTCATCTCGGTTATACATCACTGCCGTGTCTTCCTTCTATAGTACTGGTAGTCCTGCTTGTGTGAACTTGTTGGACATTTTACAACATATTCATCTGCAATTTTCACATATTCTGTCACAATTCAGTATATAAACTGATATAGTAGACTTCTAATGAGTTTTGTTTCATGAGTGAGTTGGGTTTCACGCCGCTTTTAACAGTATTACAGTTATATCACGGCGTGTCAGCTTAATGTGGGAGGAAAGCCCGAAGTGATGCAGGTATCAGACCTTTACCACTTCGGTGAAGCCTACGAGTACGGGTATGGTGCTGACAAACCTAGAAACATAATCGGGGCGGAATGGATTCGAACCCACTATCATAGGTTTCTGGCGTGTCCAAGGGATGCAACTCTGCACAGCGAATTGCGGCGCCTTTGACGACGGACCACCCGTGCCCCATTGTTTCATGAAAACGTCTGCAATATAACAGTTAAATTGTAATTTGTAAAAAAAAACGTCCCTGTTGGATTTCTTTGGTTTTGTTGTTTAAAGCCGCACTCGGCAACATTCCAGCTATATAACGGCGGTCTGAATATAATCGAGTCTGGACCAGACAATCCAGTGATTGACATCATGAGAATCGTTGCCATGCGTTTAGTCGACTCCTGCGATAAGCATAGCTTGCTAATACCTGTATTCTTACCCTGAATCCCGACGGATCAGGCCCGTGGTGCACTATTGGATAGCAGTTGGTTGTGATCATACTTTGGCTGTTGCTGAGAGTTCTAAACTGATGAAGGTGTGTATGAAGGATGCCCCAAGAACATCTTCTATCTCTTTTAGTTTATACTAAACCTTACAAAGATGAAGAAGATGTCTGCCTTGGTGAGTGAGTGAATGTGGTTTTTAGACGTTTTCAGCAATATTTCAACATACAGGGCTCCACACACGGTACCATGTGGAAAATCGAACTCCATCGTGACAAGTGAACGCTTTATCCCCGCTTCCCCAACGCCCCAGACATATGCCTGCGAGAATCAGTGAGAGGTTGGTTTAATGCTGCTTTTATGAATATCCCAGTAATTTCACGGAGAGGGGCTCGACCACGTGTCCTGAGATATTAGCATTGATTAAGTCAGAGAATGTTTGTTTGTTTATTGTTTAACGTCGCACTCAGCAATATTCCAGCTATATGACGGCGGTCTGTAAATAATCGAGTCTGGACACTCCAGTGATTGACATCGTGAGCATCGATCCACGCAATTGGGATCGATGACATGCATCAACCAAGTCAGCGAGCCTGACCACCCGATCCCGTTAATCGCCTCTTACGACAAGCAAAATCGCCTTTTACGGCAAACATGGGTTGCCGAAGACCTATCTACCCCGGAATCTTCACGGGTCAAGTCAGAGAATGAGTGAGTGAGGATGGTATTACGCTGTTTTCAGGAATATTCCAGCAATATTACGACACGGATTCGACCACGTGTCCTCAGCGTGGTGATCGTACAGTTAACTACTGGGCTATCTCGCCGCCACTGTCGGCTTGTGGCCAAGCTGATTATCTCTAGTTCTGATTTTTAACAGTAAACGACCGTCAACATGCTAATGCCAATGATAATGTTGTGAATGCCAGTGTAAATCTGTTCAAAACGCATACACGTGTTTGTAAAGGAATGGTGAAGAAAGACATTGTTTGACATGGCTAGCCCAGTAAATGGTGACACCAGTAGCAAGATAGTTGGCACCAAGAAGAGAACTCATGTGATGAAACCCACTTGGTATTCCCCAAACTTTAGCTTACCTGCTTACCCAAGTCATCCCGCCACCATCTTCAGCTTACCTGAGTGATACTCCCACCCTACTCTACTCCATCTATTGCTTACCCGAATCATCCCGCCACCACCTATAGCTAACCTGAGTGACATCCCACTCCATCCCATGTATTGCTAACCCGAATCATCCCGCCACCACCTATAGCTAACCTGAGTGACATCCCACTCCATCCCATGTATTGCTAACCCGAATCATCCCGCCACCACCTATAGCTAACCTGAGTGACATCCCACTCCATCCCATGTATTGCTAACCCGAATCATCCCGCCACCACCTATAGCTTACCTGAGTGACACCCCCACACCCACCCATCTATTGCTTACCCGAATCATCCCACCATCATCTATAGCTAACCTAAGTGACATCCCCACACCCACCCATCTATTGCTTACCCGAATCATCCCACCATCATCTATAGCTAACCTAAGTGACATCCCCACTCCAGCCCATCTATTGCTAACCCGAATCATCCCGCCACCACCTATAGCTTACCTGAGTGACACCCCCACACCCACCCATCTATTGCTTACCCGAATCATCCCGCCACCACCTATAGCTTACCTGAGTGACACCCCCACTCCACTCCATCTATTGCTAACCCGAATCTTCCCGCCACCACCTATAGCTAACCTGAGTGACACCCCCACTCCATCCCATGTATTGCTAACCCGAATCATCCCGCCACCACCTATAGCTTACCTGAGTGACACCCCCACACCCACCCATCTATTGCTTACCCGAATCATCCCACCACCACCTACAGCTTACCCGAGTGACACCCCACCCCCTCATCTATTGCTTACATGAATCTTCCCGGCACCACCTATAACTTAACTTACCTGAATGACACCACACTTCAACACGTGGATTGGTCATCCGAGCCATCCCGCCATCATCTATTGTTTACACGAATGACCCCCCTTACCCCGAACATAGATTACCTAACATCCCCTCCCCAACCTACCTGAGTGATTCTCCATGTTGCAAATCCACGCACCCGCCAAGGCAACATGCGGAGAAGTATTCCAGGAAGAAGCGAGAGGTCGGCACCAGGAGGTCGAACCTCAAGGCCAGAAGTACCAGCGTCTCCAGCTTTTTCACTTGTTCTCTGTTGTATTTGGAGTTGCAGCAATCAAGCAAGTCGTTAATCTCCGGGGGAATAACCTCCTCCTGAAACCATGTGTCTACATCAGAAAATCGTTAATTATCTCGATCTACCACTTACCTTCGGATAAAAGTCACATACAGAGGATAGGGTGGGGGCTGAGTAGATTCACACTGTATCCCGAAGTGTTAGTCAGTATGGTTTTACTCCCCTTTTAACCTCAGTCCAGTTATCACGGCAGAGGACACCATAACATGCGGAATCGAACCCAGGCCTGCGATGTGACGAGCGAACGCACGCTTTAAACTCTAGTCGAACAGCCTGCCCTCGCTTCAGTTTAAGGTCATTAAGCCACATTAAAAGTCTGGAAGACCGAACACAACAATTGCACAAATGAGCAATATTCCAGCTATATGACGGCGGTCTGTAAATAATAGAGTCTGGACCAGACAATCCAGTGATTGGCATCATGAGCATCGATCCACGTAATTGGGATACGATGACATGCATCAACCAAGTTAGCGAGCCTGACCACCCGATCCCGTACCAGTGAATGAATAATGTTTAACGCCGCATCAGTAATCTTACAGCTATTCCCGGCGTATCATATACTGAAAGCATGTACTTCTTCCACGACAAGACGCGGTCCCCAAGGTATAATAACCACAATAACAGTCGCGATTCAATTTCCAAACGAATCTGACCCATGGGAGGTAACTCTAAACTTACTATTTTTGCTGCGATTAGTAATGCAGTGATGCCGAGGAGCGGTAGACATGGAATGTCTACGTACATAGCCGCCATGGTGCGGTCGATGATGTTGACAGTGACGAAGAGGCTGTCTGGGTTGAGACAGTGGTCGCGGTGAACTTTGGTCACCCAGCTCACCATGACAGCCCGCATCCCTGGCGTGATCTGAGAGACAGACACAGACCGAAAATATTACAATTATAAAACATACCTTTAAACGTTTAATCAGTGACTCTTTCATGAAACCTATACTCAAATGTAATCGCGATCGTATTTTTGCGTATCATATTTTATTTTGTTTTTGGAAACTCAAAACTAGTCTTATTGTTTGAAACTGAAATTGAACTGGACTTTTTGGTTGTAGGTTGTAGATGGATCTATAAGCCTTCTGAAGATGTTCATTTCTAACATAAAATTAAAACAAAATTAAATTCTGCCCAGCATTGTGTATGTTCTTCAAACAAATTGTCAGGTGTTTTCTTGTTATTTTTATTCCATGTTAGAGATTGGTAGTAGTTTGAAGGGAAAGTCTTCTTTTAACCAATAGCATACTGCTGGTCACAAGCGGTTTGTTGTGTACAGACTACTGAACATATTGTACACATGTGTACAATCATTGTACATATTTGTACATTTTCTCTCTTGATATTATGAAGCCAAACATGTGTATATTTCATTGACGTCAATGTCTTGCTATTCCAACAAGGATATTTGGCGACTTTGTCGATTTTTCAATAAAAATACAACAAAAACTTACAATCTGTTACTCCATAGTTTCAGTTTTCAATAAATGGATATGCTCACAATTACTTTACATTTTTTATAAATTCAAACTTTCTTTTCACCTGCATCATTTTCATTTTTCGATCACAAAAACAGTTGTCAGGTTAAAGAGTTTGTACCTTCGTACACAAATATACATGTCATTTCCAGCTTCAAACATACACGAACAAATAGCCGATATACAATTACATTAGTGACGATGCGTATGGTACATGATCATAGTACGTAGTTATGGCACATGGTCATGGTACACTGTCATGGTGCGTGGTCATGGTACAATGTCATGGTGCGTGGTCATGGTACACTGTCATGGTGCGTGGTCATGGTACACTGTCATGGTGCGTGGTCATGGTACAATGTCATGGTGCGTGGTCATGGTACAATGTCATGGTGCGTGGTCATGGTACACCGTCATGGTCATGGTGCATGGTCATGGTACACTGTCATGGTGCGTGACCATTGTACACTGTCATGGTGCGTGGTCATGGTACACTGTCATGGTCATGGTGCATGGTCATGGTACACTGTCATGGTGCGTGGTCATGGTACACTGTCATGGTCATGGTGCATTGTCATGGTGCATGGTCATGGTACACTGTCATGGTACACTGTCATGGTGCGTGATCATGGTACACTGTCATGGTGCGTGGTCATGGTACACTCTCATGGTCATGGTGCATGGTCATGGTACACAGTCATGGTGCGTGATCATGGTACACTGTCATGGTGCGTGGTCATGGTACACTGTCATGGTGCGTGATCATGGTACACTGTCATGGTGCGTGATCATGATACACTGTCATGGTGCGTGGTCATGGTACACTGTCATGGTGCGTGATCATGGTACACTATCATGGTACGTCATCATGGTACACTGTCATGGTACACTGTCATAGTGCGTGATCATGGTACACTATCATGGTGCGTGGACATGGTACACTGTCATGGTGCGTGATCAAGGTACACTGTCATGGTGCGTGGTCATGGTACATTGTCATGGTACATGGTCATGGTGCATGATCAAGTTACACTGTCATGGTACATGGTCATGGTACATGGTCATGGTACATAGTCACGGTACATGGTCATGGTACATTGTCACAATGCATGGTCATGGTACATTGTAATAGTGCGTGGTCATGGTACATTGTCACGGTACATGGTCATGGTACATTGTCACAATGCATGGTCATGGTACATTGTAATAGTGCGTGATCATGATACATTGTCATGGTTCGTGGTCATGGTACACTGTCATGGTGCGTGATCATGGTACACTGTCATGGTGCGTCATCATGGTACACTGTCATGGTACACTGTCATGGTGCGTGATCAAGGTACACTGTCATGGTGCGTGATCAAGGTACACTGCCATGGTGCGTGGTCATGGTACATTGTCATGGAACACTGTCATGGTGCATGATCAAGGTACACTGTCATGGTGCATGATCATGGTACACTGTCATGGTACACTGTCATGGTGCGTGGTCATGGTGCGTGGTCATGGTACACTATCATGGTGCGTGGTCATGGTACATTGTCATGGTGCGTGGTCATGGTACATTGTCATGGTGCGTGGTCATGGTACACTGTCATGGTGCGTGGTCAAGGTACATTGTCATGGTGCGTGGTCATGGTACATTGTCATGGTGCGTGGTCATGGTACACTGTCATGGTGCGTGATAAAGGTACATGGTCATGGTACATTGTCACGGTACATTGTCACGGTACATGGTCATGGTACATTGTCACAATGCATGGTCATGGTACATTGTAATAGTGCGTGGTCATGGTACATTGTCACGGTACATTGTCACGGTACATGGTCATGGTACATTGTCACAATGCATGGTCATGGTACATTGTAATAGTGCGTGGTCATGGTACATTGTCACGGTACATGGTCATGGTACATTGTCACAATGCATGGTCATGGTACATTGTAATAGTGCGTGGTCATGGTACATTGTAATAGTGCGTGGTCATGGTACATTGTCACGGTGCATGGTCATGGTACATTATCATAGTGTGTGGGCATGGTACATTGTCACGGTGCATGGTCATGGTGCATTGTCACGATGCATGGTCAGGGTACATTATCATAGTGTGTGGACATGGTACATTGTCACGGTGCATGGTCATGGTGCATTGTCACGATGCATGGTCAGGGTACATTATCATAGTGTGTGGGCATGGTACATTGTCACGGTGCATGGTCATGGTGCATTGTCACGATGCATGGTCATGGTACATTATCATAGTGTGTGGGCATGGTACATTGTCACGGTGCATGGTCATGGTGCATTGTCATAACGCATGGTCATGATACATGTCATGGTCATGGTGCATCGTCAAAAAAACAAACGTGCACTGCACTGTGTCAAATTGTATCAAAAGTGATGACCTCTTTCTGTCGGTTGAGGCTTTTCAAAGGATGGACTCGTTTCTCCAGGGCGAGTCGATGTAAGTAAATCTCGTCTTTGTAGGGTTCGAATCCTGCGTGGTTAACGTCGCCCAGCGGCCAAAGAGGTCCATGGGTCATTGGACTGGACAGAGGCAACTTCTTGAACTTCCGCTCAATCAGACAATCCGGACAGTCGAAACACTTGAGCTGGGTTGTATCCCCTAGACCAGAGTCATTCCCCTGGAGAAGAGTTGTCTCCCCTTCCATCGGTGTAAGGGTCTGGGCATGGCTGTGCACTTCAACCTGAGAGTAACAAAATGTATTCTTACGACAGATATAGGTGTGTATGTGCGTGCGTGCGTGCGTGCGTGCGTGCGTGCGTGTGTCTGTACTTTCATAGTACTAGCCCACTGAGATACCATGCCGCAGTTTAACGTGAATACCCAACTCAGTACCCAGACATATTCTTGTTTTAGCCCCTTAATACCGCGCGCCAGGCAGGGCAGCAACAAGTACCATCTTTAACGACTTTTGGGGTTTTAACGGACCTTTCGCTCTTCGGGCGGACGCTCTGCCACTAGGCTACGGAGTCGGTCAAATCAAGTCTGGGCGGGTGGAGGACAAGTATTAATATAATAATTGATCACTGGTGTTGTTAAAATTGCAACATAATACGCCTAAAATAATGTCTTGTATGAGTTCTAATGTACCAATCTTTCTGTTGGATCAGTCAAAACATATTCAAAAAAGTATATTGGTGTCCGAACATAGTGTATGCCTCATAAAATTATCAATAAATAGTAAATAATTATTTGAACCTGAAAATTAAGTATCACAGTAAAAAGAGCTCATACATTTTTCAGCATCTGAAGTTTTTATTTTAATTCAACATAACTTACAAAATGTGTGTGCGCGTGCGCGTGCGTGGTTGCTGAGGACCCATTCTAACCCGAAATCCCAAAAGGGTACTTAAATAATGACTGATATGTTGCACTTAATATAATAATGAGTGAGAATGGTTTTACGCCGCTTTTAGCAATATTCCAGCAATATCACGACGGGGGACACCAGAAATGGGCTTCACACATTGTACCCATGTTAGTATTCGAACCCGGGTCTTCGGCGTGATGAACGAACGCTTTACCCCATGCGACCCGTGAAGATCCGGGGTAGAATAGGTCTTCAGCAACCAAGGCTTGCCGTAAAAGGCGACTATGCTTGTCGTAAGAGGCGACTAACGGGATCGGGTGGTCAGGTTCGCTGACTTGGTTGATGCATGTGTCGTCATATCCCAATTGCGTGGATAGATGCTCATGATGTCGATCACTGGATTGTCTGGTCAAGATTCGATTATTTACAGACCGCCGTCATATCGCTGTAATATTGCTGAGTGCGGCGTTAAACAACAAACAAACATTACCCCATGCTTGTCCTTCGTTGCCGTTGCTGGGTAATTGAATGGACGATTCAAGTTTTGCATTCCAAACATATTAGTGGGCATGCTTTTAGCGATGATTATACGGCGCTTTGATAACTGTCAACGCCCCGTTCCACATTGCAATGACACCTCAACTTCAAACATATTCTATCATATAGCGGATAGGGTTAATTATGAGACAAACCGATCAGATAAACTTGGTGTCACGGTACGATAAATATGGTTATATGTCACCAAGCAGGAACTATTTTAAATAAGCACCATACATTAATCCAATGCCTACATGCTCAAATCAGGTCTGTCATACAGACTCCAAACAAATATATCAAGTACAGCCCATGCAAGTCTATCATATATGGCAAGTCTAGATTACTGCAGTGAATGAGAGTCACTCGGCTTCTTTAAATTATATTTCTATGACTACAATTTAACAACAGATTAATCTGTAAAATATGTTCATTTCAGCGACTCGATGTCAGTCTACTGTAGCTCAAAGCTAGTGCCTGACGTTACCAATATGCTCAGATAGGGGCTTTAAATGATCATGCGGGTGTGTTTCTTTCAACAAAATGGCTGCAAATCATTTGGCACTATACCATAAATGGCGGTTCACTTTAACATTGTCAGCGGTTCCTAAGGTTACTTCAGTGAGTGAAACTAGATATTAAATATTGATTATTTTAAGACTTATCATTACCCTCGTGAGTATCCGTATCGCACAGTTTATTCGACATTTATTCTGTCAGAGTGAGTGAGTGAGTGAGTGAGTATGGTTTTACGCCGCTTTTAGCAATATTCCAGCAATATCACGGCGGGGGACACCAGAAATGGGCTTCACACATTGTACCCATGTTAGGAATCGAACCCGGGTCTTCGGCGTGACGAGCGAACGCTTTAACCACTAGGCTACCCGACCGCCCCTATTCTGTCAGAAATACTCGGCTAACAATATCTGTGATGGAAGTATCGATCTTCATTTCGTAACCAGTGAATTAAGTTTAACGCTGCCTTAAAAAATAGTTAGGCCATGGAGCGTCAGCCTAGTTCCCTGGGTATCTAGCGCTAGCGCAGCACACACAGGGAACCAGGCGGATGGAGTGTCCGCTCTCATTCGTGACCAACTCGTGTTATTCCGGGACAAGCCGAATAGCGACTCGTGCCCCTCTCATGGCCATTTTTGCAACCGGGTTCCGTCTTAGCGCAAACGGGCATACCTAAAACAATTGTCAACTCGTTGCGCAATGGTTCACAAATATTTCCCGCTATATCATCTATATTTCAGATGCAATTTAAAGCACGTCAGGACATGCGGAATTATACAGTATGATTGAACACATTTAACTGTGTCTTGGGTATATTTTTAGATGCAAGACATATGTAAAAACATAAATTATTTCTGAGGGATTCTTTGACGAAGAACTTGAAATCATACGCGCATTCTGATTGGTTTGTCGTATTTTCGCACATAATATTCATCGATAGGGGTACGAGTCTTCTTGCAGGTTACGGAAAGGGGCGAGTGGTGACGAATGTGTCCGCTCTGTGAGGGGCGTGCTCAGCACCTGCGAATCAAGGGCAGATACGTATGTTTCAAATTGCTTATCTTTTGTTTCCCTCCACTAGCAAATAATCTCTGGGTTAACTGGGGATGCAGTGAAACCTCGCTATTCCTGACCCCGTTTATACGGACACTAGAACAGCTATTAATGTTTGGAACATATATACATATATATCACTGGGGCGATACAAACCGGATTAATACACTGTACACACAGGATCCGTGAAGATCCGGGTTAGAACAGGTCTCCAGCAACCCATGCTTGTCGTAAGAGGCGACTAACGGGATCAGGTGATCAGGCTCGCTGACTTGGTTGATGCATGTCATCGTTTTGGTGGTTCAATCATCCGTTCAATAACTCTGCTTCATGGGTCTGGTTGACTGTGTTACAAGAAGTGGTAACGGGGCGGTGGGGTTGCCTAGTGGTTAAAGCGTTCGCTCGTCACGCCAAAGACCCGGGTTCGATTCCCCACATGGGTACAATGTGTGAAGCCCATTTCTGGTGTCCCCCGCCGTGATATTGCGCGAATATTGCTAAAAGCGACGTAAAACCATTATATTTTTATATATATTTTAAGTGAAAAAAATGACGCGTTCATGTATACACAGGGGTTAAGAGCTGTCCATGCCAACCCGGAGTGAGTGAGTGAGTGAGTGAGTGAGTATGGTTTTACGCCGCTTTTAGCAATATTCTAGCAATATCACAGCGGGGGACACCAGAAATGGGCTTCACACATTGTACCCATGTCGGGAATCGAACCCGGGTCTTCGGCGTGACGAGCGAACGCTTTAACCAGTAGGCTACCCGACCGCCCCGCCAAACCGGAAGTTGGTAGGAAGCAACAACCATTTTCTCGCTTGACATTAAAAAATGTGATTTCCCCAAAGTACATTAAGCACAATTTAGGCAATTTTTCAGCCTCTTTGATTATTATTATGAACGAAATCGAACCCATTTCACGCACCGAAGGGCTTCCAGACTATAATCGTTACAGTATGTAAATACGACACTCTATAAAAAGATCGATATTTTTATCTTCACTTTTTGATGCCATCGGGAGCGATACCGACGAGTCGAAAACTAGGTGCTTTTCAGCGTTAAAACGACATTATTGATTCATACTAAGGTCAATTTTAGCTGTATGTATTTGAACCAGGGCAGATTTGAGGAACTTTGAACATATCTTAAGATGAAGAACATCTAATTTCTCGTCAGGTACCATAACAAGAAGTTTACTTGAAACAATTGACCTTTCTACGCTGGAGAGATGACAGGAACAGGGTGTTGATACAATTGTTTAAATGCCTTTCGCATGACTGCGTTTTCTTCAGCTGAAGTCGTGAAAAACGTGCGGTTCCTCGTCAAAACAGAGTGAGTTTTCGGGTAACCGAGACATGCAAGTTGCACGGTCGGCGCTGGGGCGATTGTAGTAAATGTTGTTTGACGTTACAGTCCACAATATTCCCGCCATATCTCGACCGCTTGAAATAATGGAGTATGAGCCTGGCACACCATTGAGTGAGTATGGTTTTACGCCGCTTTTAGCAATATTCTAGCAATATCACGGCGGAGAACACCAGAAATGGGCTTCACACATTGTACCCATGTGGGGACTCGAAGGCACGCCAATGACCGACAGCATGTTAAACCGATGACCAGCCTATACAGCAAAGTGCAGGCACACGTACGTGTGTGTGTGTGCGTGTGTGCGTGCGTATGTGTGTGCGTGCGTGCGTGCGTGCGTGCGTGTGTGTTTGCGTCTGTCTGTGTGCGTGCGTGTTTGAGTATCCCCTAATGCCGAACGCCAGGCAGGGTAACAATAAGTGTCATCTTTTAACGTCTCTTGGTATGACGCGGCCGGGGATCGAACCATAAACCTTCCGCTCCCAGAGCATACATTCCTTCAACTACACCGCGGATGCGGTCTCAGAAAAGGAGAACCAATTGTCACTGACTAAAACATGTAAGAGTGAGTGCGTATGCTACAACGCCGCCAGACGCCGAACGCTTTAACACCAACTGTAGGCTTCCCCACCGCATCACAAACTACAGCATAAACATACTATAATAATTACTCTTTGAAAGGCAAGTAAAAGGTCCTAAATAGAATAAGTTGGGATCATTTTGCAACCTGAGCAAGTCTACCACAAGCCATATAAAATATATTTTTACTTGTGGGCGAACTCCAGCAAGCAATACGCTATAAGACAACACTGTATAGTCCAGCCCAAAACTAGGATTGGCCACCGGAAACAAGAGTGTGCTGAGGTGCATAATTAAAGCTGCAGTAGGCATATTTTTCAAATAAGTATTATTTTGAATTGAGACAAATTCTTTATGCAAAAGAAATATTTCGCTCACACATCGAACTTTATCTATCTTACATAACCCAGATCATATATTTAGTAAAACAATCACCCCCATTCCCATCTTCCCGAGGCAAGTGAGTTAACTGACTATAAAAGTCCAGTTTCCACCCTTGCCGAACTAGGCTGGTATTATGGAGTTACATTTTGGCTGGACTAACGAGTCTATGCATAGTCAAATCGGAATCGCGCACCGAAATCGAAATCCGGTTCGTAAAGTGTCATGCAGATTTCGGTCGACGGCGGGATTTGCAAAGTGAGTGAGTGAGTATGGTTTTACGCCGCTTTTAGCAATATTCCAGCAATATCACGGCGGGGGACACCAGAAATGGGCTTCACACATTGTACCCATGTCGGGAATCGAACCCGGGTCTTCGGCGTGACGAGCGAACGCTTTAACCACTAGGCTACCCGACCGCCCTTGGATTTGCAAAGCATGTGCACCGCTAACTCGTTGTCAACAGATATTTTCTATATCTTTTCATGTTTTTAATCAAGGTGCACACGTGATTTAATGCACTTCGCGATGTAAGACTCGTTTGATCACAATATAGATCTTGATTATCGATCAGATCGCTTTGATTGGGCGCCACCGTTTTGTTTGAAGCAAATGCAAGTGATACGAGAGGTTGAATCTGATTGGTCAATAGGAGAGGCATAGAAAGGACATTACTCGTAATAGCCACTGGTGGCGCTACGATCGAGCCCAGGAATTCCAGCCTAGTTCGGCAAGGACTTTTAAAGTCAGTTAACACTCTTGCCTCGGGAAGATGCCCCATTCCACTATCATCTCATTTAGCTCCAGCAGCCCAAAATCGTCCCCTCTTCAGCTCTTGGCCCTGAATTTAAGAGACTTAATATCAACATTCGAAGGTTGCTTTTTATAGCTCTTTTTTTCAAAAATTAATTTAACTTTATGAACAATTTTTTTTTCAGGGACTATATATTAATTTAACAACAAACCATATTCTTTATGTCAAATTTAATGTTGAACACTAAGTTGAAACGATACGAGAACACTGGAGGTTCATACGATAAAACCAAAATGTCGATCAAATTAAGTAGGTAATTTTTCGGGTCGTTCTAATGATCTGTGAAACAATGCGTGTTCGTACATAATGAAATAATGTTGAGATACATAAATCACTTCTGTTCCACTTAAATCATTGACCGTCAACAATCGTGACGTCATGTGTACATGGAATTCCCTGAGCTCCGCACAACGATATATGACCCTTACCGAGTGAGTGAATGTAGTTTTACGGCGCTGGGTACCAAATTTAAACTTCATTAATGCCATCTGTATTCGAACCTGGGTCATACAAATCGGTGGCCGAGAACATGAGCGAAGACTCAATCACGGAAAGGAAACCCGTTTACAGACTGGTTTCATGCTCGATGTGCGCTGCGACAGTTTTATGATATGTAGAGACATATTCTTTTCTGAGGACCCTTTTTTCAGCCTATAAACAAGCACAGGGCATCCTTCGTTTACCGCCAGATACCTTCGAGAAGGAGCAGGTTCCACGTGTTATATGCAGACAGTCCGACAATACAGCAATACTAGTGCCGCGGCAACTGTCATTGATCATAAAGCATTTATTATCACGGGATTGGGAGAGTTAGTGAGTGAGATTCACGTTGATTTCCACATACGATTCATTCATATTACTTACGTTAACTGTCATGGTTTCTTCATGATTTGACAGATTAATTATTGTTAGTAATGTGAAAGAATCGGAAGGTCCTTAATTTTTTTAGTAGTTTAATTGAAACACTGTTCAAAGCGGCGTAAAACCTAACTCGCTCATTGTATTTTTATGTTTTTGTCTGCGCCCTATGTTTACCATTCCAGAAAATATACAATGGCCAAATTATAAGTTTTTCCGCGTTGCAGATCACGACTTTTTTTAACATGCTATACTCTGTGGTCATTTGATCTCAGAATCCACTACAAAGTATATTCCTCACACCTCAAATGTACCACCCTAATATCTACCTTCGAATTATGACCTACCCGTCTCTGGCAACAAACCGAAGCAATGTCACTATACCCAGGCAAGTCAGACCGTCAGTGTTGTGTGTGGGTTGCCTACCTGCCTCACCCCTGGGTAGCCGCAGTCCACTACCCCCTCGTCCAGCAAGTCATCAGGGTCGTAAGAACACACAGTGTCAAGATGGCACATCGCACAGTCCGACGACATCACAGATTTTCTTCACACTCTCAATCGAAACGCCGATTTCCAAATCACCTGTACCTGGCGTTACCTGTTTCAGATCCACATACTCTTGCCTTTCTGTCTGCATGGCTCTCGGCAGTGTTTACATTTCGTGGGACAAACCATTTTCTGATCACGTCACTTGAAACTTTGAAATCGTCCCGCGGGTGAATAAACGCAATAATATATATTATTTCATATTTGTGCAAATTTGTAATTTAATATTAAATGTTCTCATATGTTTTCTTATAAAACGTAAATTTTGTTAAACTGTTCTCTTTACTTCAACACCCCTTTAACGAATAAACTCTACCATGCACGAGCAAGCGTCACGGCAGAGTTGGGATGTTTGAACTGGGTCTGGTAAGGTGGTAATGAATTATGATGCAATAGATAATAATCATATAACAAAGATTTTTAATCAATATATTTTTCCTTCCAAATTCCTAAATTTGTTAGAACTATTTCAAAATTTCTCTTAACCTGCTTGTTTATTTCTCTACCGTGTTTGAAAAAGGCTTTGAAGTGACACGTACCATGCACGTGCTTCCCGTGGGCTCCACGACAGAAAGATCACGAGTTTCACAGAGCGGCACACGCTGACCGCGTGACAAATGGTTTAAACGCGTGAAGTTAAAATACGGGAGTAATTTACATTTTTCTTCTTAAGATGTAGTTTAATGATTCATCAGAACAAACGCTTAAATATACCAAGAGAAATTATATAGTGTTATCAATAAGACTTAAATGTAATCGAATACGCGTTTCGCTTTCTATTTATCTGCAGTAAATATAAGTAAATATTAGTGTCTAAGAAGTAAATACTTCTATGCTATGCAAATGCTATGAAAACACAACTCTTCATAAATGATCTGTACCGCTCTCTTCGCTAAATATCTGCAGTCCAAAAGATTTCTATGGACATACATCATGATGTGTTATAAAGATCCGTTATATATTATTATATAAGACAACCATTCGCAAAGATATGTAAAAAGGGCCTGTAGCCTTCTGTATTGAATTAAACTATACTACTGCTCTTAATATGTTATCGGGGACGTGGGTGGCCCAGTCGTCTCAGACGTTGCAATTCCATGTGCAGAGTTGCGTCCCTTGGTCAAGCCAGAAACCTATTATTATGTTTCCAGGTTTGTCATCACCAAAGTGGAAAATTACTTTCCTCCCACATTAAGCTGATATATCTGGAATATTTTTTAAAAGCGGCTTTAAACCCATGTCACTCGATCACTCTCACGTGATAGTGGACCAGTAGTTGCCCCTTCAAAAGTAGCAGCTCAATGTCTCCCAAATAATACGTTGGAATGTGACATGTTACTTTCAGCAACATAAGTTGTCAACTTCAAAACTAAGAGACCCGTGAAGATTCGGGGTAGAATCTTCAGCAACCCATGCCTGCCGTAAAAGGTGACTATGCTTGTCGTAAAAGGCGACTAACGGGATCGGGTGGTCAGGCTCGCTGACTTGGTTGATGCATGTCATCGATCCCAATTGCGTGGATCGATGCCCATGGTATTAATCACTGGATTGTCTGGTCCAGATTCGATTATTTACAGACCGCCGTCAGATAGCTGGAATATCTCTGATTGCGGCGTTAAACAACAAACCAAAAATCAAATTTATGAACTATTTGATGATCGTTTTCATTTCACTCTTGCTCATCAGCGGTATAAGAGTCTATACCGAAACGTTGCATCATAATAGAATAAAGAAGGTGTCATCCATACAATATCTTGCCTTTTTTGTTCAAACTTAAGAGACCGCCTCCGTGGTCTAGTGGTAGAGCGTCCGCCCGGAGAGCGGAAGGTCTGGACTTCGACCCCCGGCCGCGTCATACCAAAAGACGTTAAAAGATGGTACTTGTTGTTACCCTGTCTGGCGCTCGGCATTAAGGGGATAAAACAAGGGCTTGTCGGCTCGGAGTCAGTATACTGTGTCTGAGTGGGGTATTCATGTTAAACTGCGGCATGGTATCTCAGTGAGCTAGCACTATAAATCGGTATCAGTCCGGACTATTACAAGCAGCCACACAAACACACACACGTACATGCAAGTCGCTATATAAGTGTAATAATCTTGGACGCGACGTTAAACCCCATTTCACCTCACCTCATCTCAAACTTAAGAATGAAAACGTGGGCAAAAGACACCACTCTCAGTTATTATGAAACGTTACAACATTTTCACCACGACAATATCACGACAAAAGGGGTTTGTCAGAATCAAACCTTCTTTCTCTTGTATAAGGGTCTGGGTTCGACGACCTTTAAATCAGAGCTGAGATCGCCCGATGTCATTCAAAACCTACCCACCGACGACACACAGCGTACATTGTGTGCACATATTTGTCATTTCTGACAAGTGTGGACTACCGCCATGTGTTCTGAGAGGGAGGGAAACGACAGCCTCGGACATCTGCATCCCATTTGGTGATGAGAGCACGGGTGACCCGGTCGTCTGGGGCGCCGTCATTCCCCATGCAGAGTTGCGTCCCTTAGTCATGCCAGGATTCAATTACTATGGGTCCGATAATGATCCTCTGTTTGTGGTTTCCTCCCTTAACGAACTAAATAAGATAAGATGATACTATATTGCCCATAATTAAAATAGTTTTACATCTGAGCATCACTTAACTTTACAGATTTACGAAATCATGAACGAATACAGTGAGTGAGTGAGTATAGTTTTACGCCGCTGTTAGCAATATTCCAGCAATATCACGGCGAGGGACACAAGAAATGGGCTTCACACATTGTACCCATGTCGGGAATCGAACCCGCGTTTTTGACGTGACGAGCGAACGCTTTAACCACTTGGCTACCCAACCGCCCCTAACGAATACAGAGACATACTTAAAGTATAAAAGTAACATAAAACAGCATAAGACCACACAGGTAAATCAAAGGTTAAAAGTTAAAATGTTAATTCAAAAGTATAAATAAAGCTTAAGTCACTTGATGTTAACATTGTTTAAAAGTGATATGATAACTGGAACAAAAGATGTCTTTGACCATTTAGATTTAACTCTTGGGGACCCGTGAAGATCCGGGGTAGAATAGGTCTTTAGTAACCCATGCTTGCCGTAAAAGGCGACTATGCTTGTCGTGTGAGGCGACTAACGGGATCGGGTGGTCAGGTTAGCTGCCTTGGTTGATGCATGTCATCGATCCCAATTACGTGGATCGCTGCTCATAATGTCAATCACTGGATTGTCGGGTCCAGACTCGATTATATACAGACCGCCGCCATATAGCTGGAATATTGCTGAGTGCGGCGTTAAACAACAAACAAATTTTACTCTTGGGACGAGATATCTTCGTCCAGATGGCAGAACAGAGTAAAACATTTTTCATCATTATTTTTGTATAATTCGTCAGGGTTCTCACACACACTGTCTCCTGAACCTTTCTTCAGTCTTCGGGGGCACGGGTGGCCCAGTCGTCTAAGGCGCCGCCATTCGCTGTGCAGAGTTGCATCCCTTTGGCACGCCAGAAACCTATGATTGTGGGTTCGAATCCCTGTGCCAATATTGCTGGGTGACATCGCGAGCTGAGGAAAGCGGTAAAGGCAAGCAGTTCGCCTCAAGCAGAGAATGCAATTTCTTCCCATACATACCACACAAAAGAAGTTAAAGAACACCCGATTCTTTCATATTACTATAGGGTGGCCCAGTCGTCTAAGGCGCTGCGATTCGCTGTACAAAGTTGCGTCCCTTGCAGAGTTGCGAAACCTATGATTAGGGGTTCGAATCCCGGTTCGCCCCGATTATGTTTCAGGGTTTGTCAGTACCATACCCGTGCTCGTGGGTTTCACCGAAGTGGTAAACGTCTGAGACCTGCATCACTTCGGGCTTTCCTCCCACATTAAGCTGACACGCCGTGATATAACTGGAATAATGTTAAAAGCGGCGTTAAACCCAACTCATTCATTCACTCACTCTTCAGTCTATTTTGTTTTGTGAGTGATGGGGCCCTTTAGTAACACTGCACATAATACTTGTGAGCTGTGATATAACTAAACTTCGGTAACCCTTTTAGTGAATCATCATGAACTGTATATGTTCACAGACCCCGTTCCTTAACACGGGTGGCCCAGTGGATTCTGGTGCAGCAACTTGATGTCAGATGTGCAACCCTTACGCGTGACAACATGCACTGGGTTTCAATCGTACGTTCGAACAAGATAAAGATTCGCCCGATTATTATCCTCGGGCTGTCGGTATCACAGCCTTTCTCGGGGCGGTGGGGTAGCCTAGTGGTTAAAGCGTTCGCTCTAATATACGCAATGAACTCACTCAAAGTTAGGAGCGGAAGGTCGGCGGTTCGATCCTTAAGGGGTTAAAACAAGAGCTGGTCGGCTCGGAGGGTGTATAATGTCAGACTGGGGTATCCTTGCAAGTGTTAGACTGCAATGTGATATCTCACTGGGATAGCACTATAAACCCGCATAAGTACGGACTCGGTACAAGCTACCACACAAACACGTGCATGCGACGTTTAACACCATTTCTCCTTACACCTCAAAGGTGCGTCGCCACCAAACTCACCCACACACTGATCTAAGATTAATCCATCGCCACTTGAAAGAAACGGAGTGTCGCATCTGTATTAAAATGTCAGAGAGACAAGGCCGATACCAACTGTAAGTTCAGAGGAAATCCGTTTCCGACAATACGTACAAACAAAACAACGTTTGGAGCCATGCATAGTCGGACAAATTTAAAAACTGTTTCCTTCCGATGGTTCGTGTTTTAAAACTCCACCAAATAAGCTTCGCAGGGAACTGTAAGTCATACGCAACACATCGCCCCGGTCGGCATGACAATGCCTTGTGAAAACTTTCCCACACACTTCGAAATTGTACTTCATTTATTTTCAAAATAATTAAATTATTCCACATTCTAAGACACGACATAATGACACGGGTTTTCGCGGATGCCATTCAGACTTCATTCTTGAAGTCATATTTCAGTGCATGTCCTCTACAGCACATGGAATACTCCCATATTGGAGACATTAGCAGTGACAGAAACAGGTTACCGCCCCTCCCTTATCGCGGGGGGAACAATCGACGTCTGAACGCGGACACCCCGGACCTTGCAACCAATTGTTCTCAGGTGTACGAATCGCGGGAAAACTATAAATAATTGGCATGGCTGTTGAAATTCTAGCCCGAGACAAAGTGTGGATTTGATTTATAATGTTGGAGGTTGTCGTGGAGAGAGGAGCTCCCCGTCCCTTCCCCTAGGTCCAGTCTAGTTTACCCCCATTAGTAAATCCCTCACCTCACCTCAGTAGCACTGGCCGTTACCCCAAGACCAACTGGCCTGTTTCTGCGGATACTGCGAGGCGTTGAGTGAGAGTGATTATCTGAATGGTGACGGCGTGAGGACAGTCCACCATGCAGTTGTTCACGTCACTGATGCTGGCCATGCTTGCTCAGGTCGTCCACGGTCAGCGTAGTAGGGAGAGAGTCAGACCAGGTGAGAATTGCATAGTCTTGGACACATTGATGTGATTACTTTTGTCCTGATAAAGTCATTGTATGACGACCAGTATTTTATCGCAATGAGTATGCGTGTGCTTGCGTCCCCATGGTCACTTGTATGGTGTACCGACCTTTGAGAGGCGATGAGGCAGTATAGTGGTTGAAGCGTTCGCTCGTCACGCCGAATACCCGGGTTCGATTCCCCACATGGGTTCAATGTATGAGACCTTTTCCGGTGTCCACTGCCGTGATATTGCTGGAATATTGCTCACTCACTCGCTCACTCACTCACTCACTCACTCACTCACTCACTCACTCACCAACCATTGCTGATTGCTATCTGCAGACCGAATTTTATTGGGTGTCGTGTAATAGTCTCATAAATTTTCTCAAACTAACGTTAAATGCAAATGTGATATTTTGCAAGTTACTTAACTATCCTTTATCGACATACTATTGCCTATTATCCGGCCCCAAAGAAATTCAAGTCTTCAAGATCAGCGAAGAAAGTTATGGACACCCTATTATGGGATGCAAAGGGTGTGATCCTTGTTGATTTTTTTAGAAAGTCAAAAGACGATTACCGGTGCCTACTATGCTGATTTGCTTCATCGCCTGAGAGATTCTATCAAAGAAAAGCGGCAAGGGATGCTGACTGCTGGAATTCTATTTTTTCATGACAATACCTCTCCTCACACCCCTCGACTTGCAAAGGCTGCTGTGCGACAATGTGGGTTCGCAGAGCTTCCTCACCCTCCATACTTGCCAGACCTGGCACCAAGTGATTTCCTCAACTGAAGGACGCTTCGTCTAAAGCGCTGTGACGGAAACGATGACCTCAAAGCTGCCGTGAATGGGTTTTTCATGGTGACTTCAGAAAACTGACTTCCTGACTGGAATTGAAAAGCTTCACTATCGATATGAGAAGTCTTTTGAAAAGCAGAGAGAATACGTTGAAAAATAACATTAAAAACATTTTCAAATTGTTGGTTTTGTTTGTTTGGCTTAGAACTTTTGACCAGCCCTCGTAGTGTCGACAGAAAATGCACTGGTTTTGTTGACCTGATGGCCGAATATGTGTCCCTTCCGCGTGGTCAACCATAGTGTTATTGCACATGTTATGTAGAATCGGTGAATTCCCTTATTTTCCCAATGCCAGCTGATATATATTCTCTTCGTTCCAGTGCCTGACGCACGACTTGAAGAAGCGTTCGCAACGAGTAACGAAATATTCTTCGCTGGACAGTTCAGTGCCCCTCGTGACACCAGACGTAGCCTCGTTCTGGCTAGAATCCAGAGTCCTCAGCTCCAAACACTGTTTGAGGTGTCGGTTGGGTTTACTCAACCACAAGGTGAGTTAATGTGCATCTATGTTGGCGTTCACATTTCACATTCATCTTGGAGTGCATGGTTGCCTAGTAGTCTATCGCGCCGCAATTTGTTTGTGGATAGTTAAGTCTCTTTGTCGTGTAAGGATCTGCTGTGGGTTCGAATCCCCCAGATGTGTACTGATAATGATGCTTAGTTTGTTTGCACCATACCAGTGATACAACATGATAACAGCGTGGTGTTGGAGAAAAAGTCTCTGACGTTTACCTTTTTGGTGAAAGCCTCGAGTACGATTAAGGTGCTGACAACCTATAAACACATTCAGGGCGAACCGGGATTCGAACCCACGATCACAGGTTCCTGCACAAAGGGACGCAACTCTGCACTAGTTGCAACGCATTAGGCCATCCGTGCCCCTCCTCTCACATTAAACTGACATACATGAGCTCGTGGATTTTACCAAAGGTGTAAACGCTCATAACACTTATCCCCCATGAAGACCTAATTTACAGTTGGTGATCAGAAACCCATGCTTGTCTTAAGAGGCGACTAACGGGATCGGGTGGTTGGTTGATGCATGTGATCGTATCCCAGCTGCGTAGATCGATGCTCATGACGTCAATCACCGAATGCAAATCGCCGTCATATAGCTAAAACATTGCTGAATGCAGCGATAAACAACAAACAAACAATAATACATAATCATAATCATAATCATAATCATACAAGGGGTACCAATTACCTTATGGAGCACTGATCTGTAGGTCATTTGGCTGATATAAATCATATATGCTGTATTCGTCCGTTTTCACAATGCAGCTATACAGATAAGCAATATATGTTAAGTTTGCTACTATAGTGTACTCTATCCCCCGTATACAATAACACCAGATTGATCTGTATATCATAACAAAGCTTTGTGTCCGATTACATAAGGGATAATTATAAGGGTGAATTAAGTTGATAGTGTAACGCACTGCCCGTGTCTAACAGTTCCCCACCTTCCCTCATACCAACCTCTAGTCGTCGACCCACAAGCATCTGTCACTTATCACGGTATATGTTTTGTATTTAAATTCACTTCGTTCACTTCCGTTGTATATGTATGTAGGACGGAATTCAGCACAAGTTACGCAGAAAAGTTGCAAACAAGTTTTACGTAAGCTAGTACGGACTGTGCAGCCTCTTTTTATGTTATTTCTTACGAGTGTATGCACAACTGTGTGTGCCGTGTCTCAGTTTAAGAACAATAAATCCTACTGACCTTGATCTCGCAACGTGGGACGTGACCGCACGTGCTGCGTTAGGTGGTCGCGGCGGGGTGTGGCGAACACCTGTAGACCCAGTCAAGGCAACGCAAAGGGGAGTTTATAACAACAGAAAAGCGAAGAACAGGTCTCAAAAGATGTTCTGAATGATGGTGTGTTTAGTTTGTATGTGGGCTCCCACATGCCTTGACTTTCATTCGTTGTAAGGTCAGCCATGCTAATGACAACGGTTTAGGATGTCTGTCTTGTCAAAAAGTTAATGTTAGTTCCAGATGCAGAAGCTGGAGTTTCTATCCCAGAATTTAGAGAATTAATTGAAAAATGAATCTAATTCAAGTCTAGAATGGTTTTGCAAGTCTAGACTACCTCAGTTCTGGTTGTTCTGGGCTCCATTTCGACAATATTTTTTCTACCGGATAGTTCGGCAACGACAAGTCCGTATGAGGGTCTACAACGTTTTATTCATTTAGAAGCTGTCCAAGTCTCTGCTGTAGATCCATTTACTTAAGTTGCTGACGATGTTCCTAATATTGTTATATCATTTGACCAGTAGCACCTCGTCCATAATCCCCACGTCTCTCGTGCATCTTACTCCTGCCCTTAAAAGTCTTGAACTGACATTAATTATCCAAGCCTTCAAGAAACGTACACATATATGAAAATGTATCCAATAATGATCCAAGCCTTCAAGAAACATGTATGTGTGACCATTTATCCAATAATGACCCACGCCTTCAAGAAACATGTATGTGTGACCATTTAACCAATAATGGTCCAAGCCTTTAAGAAACATAGATGTGAGATCATTTATCAAATAATGATCAAAGTCTTCAAGAAACATATATGTATTACCAATTATCCAAGAATGATCCAAGCCTTCAAGAAACATATATGTATGACCATTTATACAATAATGATCCACGCCTTCAAGAAACATATGTATGACCATTTATACAATAATGATCCACGCCTTCAAGAAACATATGTATGACCATTTATACAATAATGATCCACGCCTTCAAGAAACACATATGTATGACCATTTATCAAATAATGATCCAATCCTTCAAGAAACATATATGTATGACCATTTATCCAATAATGATCCAAACCTTCAAGAAACATATATGTATGACCATTTATCCAATAATGATCCACGCCTTCAAGAAACACATATGAATGACCATTTATCCAATAATGATCCAATCCTTCAAGAAACACATATGTATGACCATTTATCCAATAATGATCCACGCCTTCAAGAAACACATATGTATGACCATTTATCCAATAATGATCCAAGCCTTCAGGAAACGTATATACATGAGCATTTGTCCAATAATGACCCGAGCCTTCAAGAGATATATAGGTGTGAACATTTGCCCAAGACAAAAATGAAAAAACCAAGAAACAAGTTTATTTGTCACGATTAGAAGAAAAGAACTTACTGTAGTTTTTAAAGAAAGTTTTGCCTTTCCTAATGCTGACAATGTATGCCGTACGCTTCTACAAAATAAATTTAGGCAGCGAATGGACTCATAATTTGATGTGTTCAGCGACACGGACAATTATAAAGCCAAATGGTAGTCAGACGGACACGATTTGTACATGGGTACTATTTTTTTTTATTGTTGGGGTAAATGTCTTAACATCGCTCTGATATTTCTTAAATAATTTCGGCATTACGCATATTTAGACTATCAGGCTAGTTCTTGGTAGCCCCCGTTTGATTAAACTTCAGCTTCCTATTGATATTTAAAGTTCAGCGGATACGAACACAGTTTGAACATATTTGTGCATGTTTAACACCCACGTGATCACGTGCTAATATACAAGCTGGAGTCATGTGTTAAATGGACAGATGTTTCTAAACACCCACGTCATATATTCGGAAATGTAGGAGTGGCGTTCAAAAAGTTCTGCAATTCCTTTAAAAAAGAATGAAACACAAAATTGAACTCATTTCTATTTTCTAACATAATATAAGGACACTCCTTTTAAATGCATTCAAGATTCATTTGTCCTTCATATTTTTTATAGGCCGTTCAAATATGGTACTTGTTTAAACCCTTCCTCGGGCTCGGCATTGAGGGGATAATGCAAGACTGGTCGGCTTGGAGTCTGTGGCAAAATAATTTACACACTTTCTGCTAGCCGTTACATAACATGCGTTTGATTACATATTCGTGACTTTAGTATCAGGTTATAAATCTTAAATTGAAAATGAAATTAAAGCCAAATGGTAATGATTGGCCATCGTTCTCTTTCTACTTCAGTGGTCGTGCGTCTCCGCACACGTGACAGGCGGGAATACCAGTTGACCTTCCCGACGCGTGCCCTACACCAGAATGACCGGAAGCGCTTCATCCTCCATTTTACAGAGATGGATAAACCTAGCAATGGTATTCGACTGTTCGTGGACTGTCAAAACATCGGCCTGGATACAACCGAGATCCCCATCCGGAGTTTACTCAGGGGGAACCTCAATGTTGTAAGTGTTGTCACTCGGATGGAACCAGAAATGTCAGGTCTTATAACTCAGCGGACACTCCAGGATTGTAAGTCTTGTTATTTAGGTGAAACTTTAATAAGGTAACTCGTGTTACAAGGGTGAATCCTTAATGTAGTAAGCCCTGTTACTGAATAGAAAATGCAATGTTGTAAGTCATGTTACTAAATGTATTGAAAATCCCCATGTTGTAAGTCCGGTTATCCCCTAGTTGTAAGTCCGGTTATCCCCATGTTGTAAGTCCGGTTATCCCCATGTTGTAAGTCCGGTTATCCCCATGTTGTAAGTCCGGCTATCCCCATGTTGTAAGTCCGGCTATCCCCATGTTGTAAGTCCGGTTATCCCCATGTTGTAAGTCCGGTTATCCCCATGTTGTAAGTCCGGTTATCCCCTAGTTGTAAGTCCGGTTATCCCCATGTTGTAAGTCCGGTTATCCCCATGTTGTAAGTCCGGTTATCCCCATGTTGTAAGTCCGGCTATCCCCATGTTGTAAGTCCGGCTATCCCCATGTTGTCAGTCCGGCTATCCCCATGTTGTAAGTCCGGTTATCCCCATGTTGTAAGTCCGGCTATCCCCATGTTGTAAGTCCGGTTATCCCCATGTTGTAAGTCCGGCTATCCCCATGTTGTAAGTCCGGTTATCCCCATGTTGTAAGTCCGGTTATCCCCATGTTGTAAGTCCGCTTATCCCCTAGTTGTAAGTCCGGTTATCCCCATGTTGTAAGTCCGGTTATCCCCATGTTGTAAGTCCGGTTATCCCCATGTTGTAAGTCCGGCTATCCCCATGTTGTAAGTCCGGTTATCCCCATGTTGTAAGTCCGGCTATCCCCATGTTGTAAGTCCGGTTATCCCCAAGTTGTAAGTCCGGTTATCCCCATGTTGTAAGTCCGGTTATCCCCTAGTTGTAAGTCCGGTTATCCCCATGTTGTAAGTCCGGTTATCCCCATGTTGTAAGTCCGGTTATCCCCATGTTGTAAGTCCGGCTATCCCCATGTTGTAAGTCCGGCTATCCCCATGTTGTAAGTCCGGCTATCCCCATGTTGTAAGTCCGGCTATCCCCATGTTGTAAGTCCGGCTATCCCCATGTTGTAAGTCCGGTTATCCCCATGTTGTAAGTCCGGCTATCCCCATGTTGTAAGTCCGGTTATCCCCATGTTGTAAGTCCGGTTATCCCCATGTTGTAAGTCCGCTTATCCCCTAGTTGTAAGTCCGGTTATCCCCATGTTGTAAGTCCGGTTATCCCCTAGTTGTAAGTCCGGTTATCCCCATGTTGTAAGTCCGGCTATCCCCATGTTGTAAGTCCGGCTATCCCCATGTTGTAAGTCCGGTTATCCCCATGTTGTAAGTCCGGCTATCCCCATGTTGTAAGTCCGGTTATCCCCATGTTGTAAGTCCGGCTATCCCCATGTTGTAAGTCCGGTTATCCCCATGTTGTAAGTCCGGTTATCCCCATGTTGTAAGTCCCGTTACTAATGGAAAAAACTCAGTGTTGTAAGTCATGTTACTGGTGAAAAACCTCAATGGTGTTAGTTTAGTTTGATACACGGGAAATATTAATGTTGTGACTCTTACTCCAAGCAAAAAACCTAAATGTTGAACTCGTGATCATTTTGGGAACACCGTAATGCTGAATCTCGTGGTCCTTTTGGGACACCTCAATGTTGAAGCTCGTTGTCCTCTTGGCACAGTTCAATGTTGAAGCTCGTTGTCCTTTTGGCACAGTTCAATGTTGAAGCTCGTTGTCCTTTTGGCACAGTTCAATGTTGAAGCTCGTTGTCCTTTTGGCACAGTTCAATGTTGAAGCTCGTTGTCCTCTTGGCACACTTCAATGTTGAAGCTCGTTGTCCTTTTGGCACAGTTCAATGTTGAAGCTCGTTGTCCTTTTGGCACAGTTCAATGTTGAAGCTCGTTGTCCTTTTGGCACACTTCAATGTTGAAGCTCGTTGTCCTTTTGGCACACTTCAATGTTGAAGCTCGTTGTCCTTTTGGCACAGTTCAATGTTGAAGCTCGTTGTCCTTTTGGCACACTTCAATGTTGAAGCTCGTTGTCCTTTTGGCACAGTTCAATGTTGAAGCCCGTTGTCCTTTTGGCACACTTCAATGTTGAAGCTCGTTGTCCTTTTGGCACACTTCAATGTTGAAGCTCGTTGTCCTTTTGGCACACTTCAATGTTGAAGCTCGTTGACCTTTTGGCACAGTTCAATGTTGAAGCTCGTTGTCCTTTTGGCACAGTTCAATGTTGAAGCTCGTTGTCCTTTTGGCACACTTAAATGTTGAAGCTCGTTGTCCTTTTGGCACACTTCAATATTGTAGCTCGTAGTTCTCACAGGAATCCTCAGTGATCTAGCTTGTAGTCCCATAGAAAATCTTGTTTTATTCACGGTCTTCGCCTTGAACGCTTTCGCCCCCTGAAGACCTGCAACAAGAAAGGGTTCTTTACCCTGCAATAGTAAAGAATTTTGACTTTTCCTTGTTACCGGACTTATCCTGACAACATTGCACACATGGCTTGGACTATTGCGAGTTTTAGAAGGCACCTCGCCACAACATGGGGAGCAGGCAGGTTCTTCATATATGTGGGACTTCAAACAAAACTGGATTGTGTTGTTTAAGTGGTTTTATGGTTTCCACATGTACATCGGCGACAACTGGTATGTAATTCTACACCTATTTCCCGCTGTGGTCACTTCAAACAAAGACCTTTCATTCTGCCATGAACATGAAATCTGCAAAGTGCTATATACAATGGCGGGTGTTTAGGTGAAATAGACACGCCACCGGTCAAGTCTTTGACTACTGAAATACCCCCACATGGAACGCCTTAGTGAGATTTGTGAATATTGAAATGCGTGCCACATTGTGTCAATATTGCTGGGTGACATCGCGAGCTGAGGAAAGCGGTAAAGGCAAGCAGTTCGCCTCAAGCAGAGAATGCAATAACTTCCCATACATACAACTCAAAAGAAGTTAAAGAACACCCGATTCTTTTATATTACTATAGGGTGGCCCAGTCGTCTAAGGCGCTGCGATTCGCTGTACAGAGTTGCGTCCCTTGCAGAGTTGCGAAACCTATGATTATGGGTTCGAATCCCGGTTCGCCCCGATTATGTTTCTAGGTTTGTCAGTACCATACCCGTGCTCGTGGGTTTCACCGAAGTGGTAAACGTCTGAGACCTGCATCACTTCGGGCTTTCCTCCCACATTAAGCTGACACGCCGTGATATATCTGGAATAATGTTAAAAGCGGCGTTAAACCCAATTCACTCACTCACTCACTCATATTACTATAGTTAATATGTCATGCTATGACAGATTAATCACAGTAATACGACATAACTGGGTGTCCTTTAACTTCTTGTGGGTAGTATATTGTCTTGGAAAATACAAGGTGCTAGTTTTGGATTCTATATGCTATTTATGAGTAAACAACTGAAATAATTGAAATAATATTGCATAATATTGAATTTAGTATGTTTACATTTACATTATACGTATACCAATACTACTGGGACTATAGTTAGCATGGAGAAAGGTTACTGTAACCAATGTAACCAATCAGATATTAACTGTGTTACTTTGTTGTTATCATGGTATGGCGGGAACTATGTAAATCCAAGCTCAACAATACTTGTACCAACCTTTTACGGTCTCTCTCAGATAAATCAGCAGAATGAAACAAAATTCAGACAATTGCATTGTATACAGATATTTGTGTGATGGCCTTAAAGAGCACCACAGTACCACGAGTGGCAAGTCAGGTGAACAGTTGCCTTGCCTTTGCATGTGTTTGTGATGGTGTCACAGGTGGGGCAGGATACGCTCACCTTTTCGCGAATACCTGGTATCATCACTATTTGATAGTGATTAAAAGACACACATATCAACCTCATAAATTTCATTATAGAAACCCTTTTTATGCAGTTTTTATTATAATGGTATATCACTCGGGATAAGGATGCTGGTATAATTTCTTCAAGTGGGTATGCATTTAATACAAATACACCTTATAATGCCCGCATATCGTTTGAGACGATGTTACTTTGTATAATTTCTTAAATTTTTAGTTAAAATTTGGGTATGCATTTAAAATAAATACACGTTTAAGACGATGTTACTTTGTGGTCGCGGAAGACGACTACTACGGTTTAATATCGGAACTTCGCTTCTTTCGAACTACGGATTACTCGAGCTATACTCCAGTTAATCACTGTAATTGTGCTTTGTCAAGTAAACATTAAACCGGTGGAAATAATATTGATCTAATCATCATAGCACTCACTTTTGAATATATAATGCGTTCTTGTAGCGATATAACTGAAACAATGCCGATGCCATATTAAATCCTATGTCACTCAATATTTCAGAGACGGACCCCGAACTTTAAGTTCTACTCTCGGACGTCGTTGGACAGCATGTTGTTGTCTCAGGGCTGTGGCAGGAACGCATACAACATCCCCACGACGACAGAGGCCCCCAAACTGGAGGTTCCGGCGTGGGCAGAGGAGAGGTTCAGCCCTGAGAGGAATGTTCCTGCTGAACGATCGACACCCTCACCTGACACGTCAAGACAGCAACCAGATGCGTCTAGAGGTCGACAGCCAGATCCTTCCAGAGGCCGACAACCAGACACCTCCACGAACCGCCAGCCTGATTCTGCGACAGGCCAGCAGCCTCAGCAACCTAGGGGACGACAAAAGCCCCAACAGAAAGGAGGGTACATCAATGTGGATGATCTTACTAACAGGATTAACCCTACAGGACCAGGAGCAGGTGATTTGTTGCATACGGAATATAATGATCTGCAATGAGGGGACATATCAGGGAATACGTAAAGTGTTATAGATTAGGGATAGTCACCGAGTCATACGAAAAGGCTAGAAGACCTTAGGTCACACGTGGCAAAATTTAATTCTTTTTTCACACCCCAGTAGCAAAGGTTCCACAAGGCCTACACAAGCCTTTTTTATAAAGCTGCTTGACAGATAGGTGTAATGTTTATCTCTGTGTTCAGTAATAATTCATGAAAAATATACCGGTACTAAAAACAAGTTGAAGAACACACGATTTCTTTTCATTTGACGATAGTTTATCTGTCACGTCATGCTATGTATGTTGCATGAAGTATCATGGTGTCGGGTGATACCGGGGAAGAAGTGGGTTCGATTCCTAACCCATTCTTGGTCTTCTCCGCCGTGATATTGCTGAAATACTGCTACTAGCATATTCAAATCAGAGAAACATTGGCCTTCTCAATGGTGTCTCTGGTTTCTATAAAGAACCATTGCTATTATCTGTAATGCATTTAGACAAGTCAAAGCCAGAGATAATTGCAACTATGACTAGGGTCGCATGAAATTTTCTTCTTAGTCAGGATGTTACTAGAATATTGTTGCAGACCCTTCCGTACAGATGATACAGGCGATGTTGGAATTGACGCGGACGGTGCAGGAACTTCAGCGTCAGATGCAGAACCAGGTGAGTCCATGTAACAAGGTGGGTGTTTGGCCAGGATGGCTTGTTCTTGTTGAGTATAGTTTCAATTTTGTGGAGATTCCAGGGCACAGCACTCACCAATACCCATGCTTGTTGGGAGCGAGTTAGTCTGTCATCCTGCCTAAAACAAATATATCCAATAAAGCCCATGCAAGTTTATAATGCTTGGCAAGACTAGATTACTGCAGTATTTGAAAGTTAAAAAAGACTCTGGGCTCCTTTGGTTTTTTCTGTAAAATATGTTCATTTCAGAGACTAAATGTTAGTCTAGGAGCGGGTGTGAAAGTTTGGTTTTAATACCCCCGTAATAAGAGGTTCTAAAGTGTCTTTACCGAGACGGGAAGATATATGGAGAACGTAAAAAACACAGAATTTGTCAGTTTTGTGACTTAAACACCGTAGAATGGGATCAACATTTCTTACAAATATGTCCCTTGTATGTTGAACTCAGAAAACAGTTCATTGATTAATATTATGTCCCTTATTCTAGTTTATAGAAGTTTGTTTAGTTAATGTCAAGTAACAATGTAGTGATAACGAAAGAACTGTCAATGACATTTTGCATGCTATGGAGCTATGTGTTAACATAGTAATGTATACACACCCATTACTATATAACATGTACAATAGGCCCATGATCCCTCAGTATTATGAATAAAGACATCTTGATAATGATACTTACGTTTTGGGTCACCTTGACCACTTCATTGTGTTTCGATCATTCTTACGCGATCAATGACAACTTGATGTGGAAAACTGAAATATGCTACATTACCTCGAGAAAATGTTATTGTACGTTATGATGGCCCCTTCAGTAACCGGTTTCATTCGTCACCACTCGCCCCTTTCCGTAACCTGCAAGAAGACTCGTCCCCATATCGATAAATGTTATGTGCGAAAATACGACAAACCAACCAGAATGCGCGTATGATTTCAAGTTCTTCGTCAGAATACCTCAGAAATAATTTTCGATTTGACATATGTCTTGCATCTAAAAATTTACCCAAGACACAGTTAAATGTGTTCAATCATACTGTATAATTCCGCATATCCCGATGTGCTTTAAATTGCATCTGAAATATATATAATATATGGTGAAATATATGTGCACCATTACGCAACGAGATGACAATTGTTTTAGGTATGCCCGTTTGCGCTAAGACGGAACCCGGTCGCAAAAATGGCCATGAGAGGGGCACGGGTTGCTATTCGGCTTGTCCCGGAATAACACGAGTTGGTCACGAATGAACCGGTTTGTCCCAAAATGACACGAGTACACTAAACTAGTTGTCGGCAGGTACTATAAGCAGATACATATTACACAGTGTGATTCTCATCCCCATGCTAAGTTTCAGTGGAAGCGGGCAAGCGGAAGATAAAACATGTATGGTTCACAGTAAGATCAGTGTTGTGCTACATTCGAGGTGCAACACTTGCTTAATAGCTGTTGAGAGCTTTAAAGACACTTAAAGCAGAAACCTTAAGGATGATTAAAACAAAACAATAAGCAACCTTTTCGATATAATAACATTTTCCAGTAAATAAGCAACCTGTTCTATGTAATAACATTTTCTGAAAGTGGAAATTCGTTTATGCATGATGATATGTATTCAACGGGGGGATGGCTGGATATTAAACAAAAATATTTCTTTTCGCGGGACGGTTCTTTATGACCAGTGAGAGATGAGAAAAACAAAATACATTAGTAAGGGCTTGGTACTTTACTTCATAGATGTTTTTCTTTTTCAGGAACGTGAGACACGCGCTTTGAGAGAGGTGCTTGCTGGTTGTGCAATGTGTAGAGGAGCGAGTGAGTTGAGATACCCTTGTCCAACACACAATGTCTAGTCTTCATCAACAAATCTTCGCTTTTATTCTTATGTAAAAATTACATTTTGGGGTCCACCCATCCAGTTTTAGTTCAAAACTGTTGGAAACATTCTTTGCTGCACGCCTTTGATTAGAGATTACTTATGCACTGGTTTTTAATATTACCCTGATGTCATTTAATATTTGTATACAGTAAACTACGTTTATAACGAACTGACGGTTCTTACGAACTTATATTTTTGTCCCGGCCACTGCTGTATATATGCTATACATATGCTTATAACGAACTACGGTTATAACGAACTAAAATTAGTGGCCCCTTTGAGTTCGTTATAACCGTAGTTTACTGTATAACAATTGAATAACAATAAATGTAATTTATGATTTGTTCCATAAAATAAGGGGAAAATAATTTTAGCCCCAAATGAAATTGTTCGGCTGTTCGTGTTTAAAAAATTAAAAAAGATATCCTCTCTCAAGTAAGGTAAATCCATAAATTAGTATTCATGCAGAAAATATTTGAACATCAATGCTAACAGCAACATGTAAGTGGTTGTCTTAGTTTACATATAAACTGTTGGCTTTATATCCAGGTGAGCTACAGTGCCATGACACTATATTTTCTCTCTAATTCCTTCAAGATGATCAACCCTCGCCCTTGAACGTAAGACGATGCTCGTCCAGTCCATGTTTCGAGGGTGTCAGGTGCGTTGATACGGAGACCGGCTTCCGGTGTGGTGCCTGTCCGCGTGGTTACCATGGAGATGGAGTGACATGCACGCGTCATACCTCGTGTGCAGACAGCCCTTGTTATCCAGGTAAAGACATATGCTAGCTGAAAATGAATTAAGAAATACATCTACCGCAGAGTTGTCACATAGATTTAATAGCGATAAATTTCATTTCAAACCGAAATGCCAGCGGAAACTACGAGGGGGCCCCGGACAATCCGACTAAATAGCTGAAATATACCTGATGTTGCATACATTAGTATGTCTCTCCCGAAAGGGGGGGGGGGGGGGAGGGGGGGGGGGGGGGAGCTATTTGTTTTTGGCTCTGTTCCCGTTGGCGTTGGCTTCTAAGGCGTTCCCAACCTATTCCGAGCCATTACTTGAAAGAATTTTCAATGTTTTTCAACGAAACTTGGCATATGCCTTGCTCAGCATCTTAACTGGTGCCGTTTTTATTTCAAAATTGTTCATTATTTATGTTTCCATGGAAACAATTTGGACTCAGACTCACACAAACTCTAGGGCTTCGTTTCCGAGCCATAACTCTTAAACTAATTAATATTTTTGGATGAAACTATACATTTGCAATGACCACATGCTCAACTATTGCCTTTTCATACTTTTCAATTTTTAGTTTTTTTTTAATTTCTTGTGCTTAGTCCCAAACAATAAGCGTTTGTTTCCCTCCTAAACTCTACACTTTATGAATATTTCTGTATGAAACCATTATCTTTCCGTCTACAATTTGCAGTTGTTCTTTTTCGGATTTGCAAACACATTCATAGTAACAACTTGAACTAATGTATCAAAAAATGGTAAGTGGAGACATCTGTTTTCATGATAAAAAACACATTCTTGTTACATGATGTGTTATGAGCCCAACAAGCACAAGGGACAAACGACGATTAAGCACTCGTGGAAAACGACAATTTTAAGGCTCTTCGACGTTTTTCGAGTGTTTGGCGTCTCATAACAAACGCATATTGCAGATTGATGTGTAAATTCGATGTATATTTCAACTAAGATTGACGGTGTTTGCGACATTGTCAACTTTTATATATGTGCGTGCCCTAGTACTCGGGGCGGGAGACCCATGCACCTACAAAGCAGTGCAAATAGATACCCATGCGGATGATCGGGCTGTAAAATCAGCAGTTTTAGTTATGTATTAGAGATATTATTGCGATTTGAGACTTCTAACTGACTAATGACAATCAATTATTCTCCCATGTACAAATACCGATAAACAAAAACTGCGATATTAGTAAAATTGTATTTATTACCAGACAGAAACAAATAAAATTTAGTATTGATCGCCATGAAGAAAGATCTTTCATGTTTTATGCGAAGAGAAAATCGTAACTTTGATGACCTGAAGTGTTGTTCCATGGTGCCCTCTTGAACTACCATTCATCATCATTGAGGTTGGTTGGTTGGTTGTTTTACGCCGCACTCAGCAATATTCCAGCCATATGACGGCGGTCTGTAAATAATCGAGTCTGAACCAGACAATGCAATGATTGACACAATTGGGATCGATGACATGCATCAACCAAGTCAGCGAGTCTGACCACCCGATCCCGTTAGTCGCCTTTTACGACAAGCATAGTCGCATTTTACGGCAAGCATGGGTTGCTGAAGACCTATTCTACCCCGGATCTTCACGGGTCTCATCAATGAGGAAAAGTATTCAAACATGGAGAAACTGCATCATCAATAGGTGTGTAACGATTTATCTCGAGTACTATCGATTGTCTATGGAGTGATTCTAATACGTCAATAGCAAGTTGAAATATCGATAGTTGTAATCGATACATGTTTGACTATTTACAGTCTCAATAGACGTAATGAAAAAAATAGAAAAAAATCTGGTTATATGGTAGCCATGGTGACAATTTTTACAAAGTTCACTGCATTGAAAGAACCATCGAAGGCCTGATAAAACAATAACGTTAATCTTGCGACTTTTATCCTGGGTGTAGGAGTCCGGTGTGTGGACGGGGAGCGAGGCTTCCGCTGCGGATCCTGTCCCCCCGGGCTGACCGGTGACGGGTCACGACGAGGATGCCAACCCATCAAGGTCACGTGTGCAGCAAGACCATGCTTCCCGGGCGTGACCTGTGAAGATAGGGCCAGCGGCTACGTGTGCGGCCCCTGCCCCACAGGCTACTCCGGGAACGGCACCGTGTGCGAGGACATCGACGAGGTCAGTCATCTCTGGGTTGTTTGCCATAAAGGTCCCACGTCAAGATTCATGTGTGGCTTAGAAACAAAATTATATTACATGTGGTTCTGATTTTTTAAAAAAAGAATATTCCTAAAATATTTCATTATATGGTCTGTTGGTTGTTTGGTTTATAGTCCATCAAGAGCCTCTTATTTGTTTTGTTTGTTTGTTGTTTAACGCCGCACTCTGCAATATGCCAGCTATATGACGACGGTCTATAAATAGTCGAGTCTGGACCAGACAGTCCAGTGATAGATATCATGAGCATCGACGTACGCAATTTGGATACGATGTCATGCATCAACGAAGTCAGCGAGCCTGACCACTCGATCCCGTAAGTCGCCTCTTTCGACAAGCATAGTCGCCTCTTACGACAGGCATGGGTTGCTGACGACCTTGTCTACCACGGACCTCTTCTAGGTCTATCAATGAAACTAATTACAAGTTCACATTTCAAAATCGGGTATTATGTTTTCTTTGCAGTGTCGATACAGCCGCCCATGTGATGACTTGGCCATGTGTGAAAACCTGTCCCCCGGGTTCACGTGCTCAGCTTGTCCCCCGGGCTTCACTAGTCCAGAGATTCAGGGGGTGGGGATCGCGGCCGCTCAGCGTCAGAAGCAGGTAGGTATACAACGGCAAATTTATAATCAGTACTCAAACGTATTCAAGTTCAGGCACGAAAATTATCCAATATTTAAAAAAATCCAAAAACCAATATCTTAAAATGTAATCACTATGCAAATGCGCCACAATATAAACTGTCGGTCAAAGGAAAATATACACTTAAAAATGTAATTTGACCAAAACGTTACGAGGCTGGAAATAATCATCGAAACTGCAAACTTAAAATGCAAACCACATACGCGTATTAAATACCCCCCCCCCCCCCCCCCCCCCCCCCCCATTCGAATAACCATTTATTGTTCATTTCCATTTTGGCCATTACTTGCATACTTTTTATTTTCCGGCAGTTTAGATCGAATATTATTATATTTGAGTCAGTTGAATGTCTTAAGAAATGAAGAATATATTAGTAATACTTAATTTACACAAAGTACGTGATCTAGACTACCAGTTGTCAGACTTTCATTTTGTGTGGAAGCCTCAGTGGCTGAGTGGGTTAGATCGCTGACTTTGCGATTAGATGCCTCACTCTGGAAGTGTGGGTTCGAATCCCGGACGGGAATCAGCCCCCCAAAAGTACGAGAATCTGTACTTTACTCAGAAAGTGTTGTCCCAAATATAACATGTGTTATACTTAATTATTGATAGAGAAGTTCCTATTTATCCTTGGCACACGTAAAATCGTTATATCAGACGATGTAATTCTATGGCAACGTAGAATGGTTATGGTCGCAATATGGTCTCACATCGACATTCCATTTGTCTCGAACGAGAGGGGGCATGGGTGGCCCAGTCGTCTAAGGCGCCGCGATTCGCTGTGCAGAGTTGCGTCCCTTGGGCACGCCAGAAACCTATGATTGTGGGTTCGAATCCCGGTTCGCCCCGATTATGTTTCTAGGTTTGTCAGCACCATACCCGTGCTCGTGGGTTTCACCGAAGTGGTAAAGGTCTGAGACCTGCATCACTTCGGACTTTCCTCCCACATTAAGCTGACACGCCGTGATATAACTGGAATACTGTTAAAAGCGGCGTTAAACCCAATTCACTCACTCGAACGAGAATGAACAACATATATGTGCGACGGTCCCTGGGACTTCGCGCTAACGAGGTTTCATTGTATATATAATGTACATGTGTACAGCATGAAATAGTTCGCTGTCCCTTTCAGAAATTGAGTTGTGTATATGAAGTAATGCAATATGTTGTAACTTTTTACCTGCCCAGGTGTGTACGGACATCAACGAGTGCGAGGACGGTAACGGCGGCTGCGTCCCCAATTCCGTCTGTATCAACACTCCGGTGAGTTTACAACATCGCTGGCATTATACAGTGTTATGCGTAAATGTTGCGTTAAGCTGCACGCAGCAATAGTACAACTGTATGACTGTGACCTGTAGATGATGGAGACAAACAAGGGACCCCGTGGGGACTTCGGGTTAGAGTTGGTCCCCAGCAGCCTATGCTGGTCATAAGAAGCAACCAAATAGGTCGGGTGGTCAGGTTCGGTGATTTGATTGATTGCGTGTGTTCGTACCTGGATCGATGGGATCACAATATCGATCAGTGGCTTCTCTGGAACAGACTCGATTACCCACATAGCCGTCATATGGCTGGAATATTGATGAGTTCGGCGTTAAAAAACAGACAAACAATTAAACTAGTTAACAACTGGCCACGCCGTCGGGGTACGATGACACGAAATCACCGCACCTGGCCACCCGATCCATGATGCATACGAGAACCGTGGGGACGGATTCTAACCCGGAATCTCTAAGGTGGGGTAGCCTAGTGGTTCATGCGTTCGATCGTCACGCTGAAGACCAGGGTCCGTTTCCCCACATGGGCACAATGTGTGAAGCCCATTTCTGGTGTCCCCCGACGCGATATTGCTGGAATATTGCTAAAAGCAGCGTAAAGTCACTCACTCTAAACATTTTTATCATCATCATCATCATCATCATCATTGTGAGCAATATATTTCACATCAATGTGACAAAATGGGATAACCTCAATTACTAGTGACTGTGGATAGTATTTGATATCCGTGACTACCCGTGAAGATTCCGGGGTAGAATAGGTCTTCAGCAACCCATGCTTGCCCTAAAAGGTGACTATGCTTGTCGTAAAAGGCGACTAACGGGATCGGGTGGTCAGGCTCGCTGACTTGGTTGATGCATGTCATCGATCCCAATTGCGTGGATCGATGCTCATGATGTCAATCACTTGCTTGTCTGGTCCAGACTCGATTATTTACAGACCGCCGTCATATAGCTGGAATATTGCTGAGTACGGTGTTAAACAACAAACAAACCAAACAAACCAATGATATCTGTGACTATCCGTGACCGTGATATCCTATATTAAGATAGTAACTCTCAGCTACACATTATTGATGTTGTTTGGTGTCATGGCCGACGTTGGTATCCGGTGTTCACACCGACAACAGGTACGCCGAGTCAAGGTCCGATCATATAGTCGAGATGTAGCTGGGTCGATGTTTCGTCATTTATTTTTCAAAAACACCCAAATCATTGATACGAAACAGGACTTTTATGTTTTATCTAATTTCTTCCGAAAGTTGGTGTTCATCATTAAAATTTACTATGACCGGATATTTTAAAATATTTTTCTACATAATTGTTTTAGCATTTAAGGAATATTATTCAGAAATTATTGCATTTAACTTGTGGCAGTGTTGTACCTTCCAATGCATAATAGTGAGTGAGTATGGTTTTACGCCGCTTTTAGCAATATTCCAGCAATATCACGGCGGAGGACACCAGAAATGGGCTTCACACATTGTACCCATGTCGGGAATCGAACCCGGGTCTTCGGCGTGACGAGCGAACGCTTTAACCACTAGGCTACCTGACCGCCCCTCAATGCATAATAAGAATATCTCATCGTTTTGTTGATATGACAAAATATTTCAAAATGAAAATTGTTGAGAAAACTGGGAGATCTTATGAAAATCCATAAGCTCCAAGACACTATTCTAATCTTCATTCAATAGTTTCTTTTCCATTATCTTGCATATCAACTGGGTCGTGAGTTTAAGGTTGGACCGTCCGGGTCAGCGCATCTAGCGGGTTAGTGAAGGGAAGATAAATTGAAAAAGATCGCCCATTCCATCTGTGATGTAACGGACATCAGAACAGATGAAGCGCTCGTAACATGATTGTCGCCAAAATACCATGCCACATGGACAAGCCATGGAAATATTGAAATTTGGAGCTGAACTAAAATATCTACACTCGCTGTTCATCGTGTTATGAGCTAGCTCCAAGTAGAGAGCTATCCTTGGTATCCACCATCCAGTTTCAGTTAGTAATGGTTGCGGTTACCGTATCTCACTATATTTCATTAAAGTTGAGCTTTGAAACTGGATTCCAGATCGGCATCCGGGCACCCGAGTCCCTATTACACATCAAAGAAGTCTCAATATCACATTTCAATCATCTTAACGACACCCGAATCCCATCTAAGTGACACTGATGGCACACGGTTCCCATCAAAGTCACCTTATGGACACTCGATCCCCTTATGTCCCACCCTCAACATACCCGGTCCGTGGGCACGGGTGGCCAAGTCGTCTGAGGCGCCGCGATTCGCTGTGTAGAGTTGCGTCCCTTGGGCACGCCAGAAACCTATGATTGTGGGTTCGAATCCCGATTCGCCCGGATTATATTTCTAGGTCTGTCAGCACCATACCCGTGCTTATGGGTTTCACCGAAGTGGTAAACGTCTGAGATCCTCGTCACTTCGGGCTTTCCTCCCACATAAAGCCGTGATTTAACTGGAATACTGTTGAAAAAGGGCGTTAAACCCAACTCACTCACTCACACCCGGTCCCTTCGCTCGTCACGCCGAAGACCCGGGTTCGATTCCCGACATGGGTACAATGTGTGAAGCCCATTTTTGGTGTCCCCCGCCGTGATATAGCTGGAATATTGCTAAAAGCGGCGTAAAACCATACTCACTCACTCACTCACACCCGGTCCCTATCTAAGTTACATTGATGACACCAGTATATGGTAAACCAGATCCTTCGCTTTGAATAGTGGTGGAATATTGTTGTTCATGTACTATGCTTACATTTGAAAATCATATAAGTAGTGGAGAGTTACCAACACTGTTTTCACTGGCAGGGTTCAAGGGTATGCGGCGAGTGTCTACCAGGGTTTATAGGGAACCAGACTGTGGGATGCCGGGAGGGCGGCCTTCTGTGTCCTGACGGGAGTACGAGGTGCCACGGCAACGCCAAGTGCGTCCGACGACCAGGACAGGAGGGCTACTTCTGCCAGGTGAGAAGTTTGTTTGTTTGTTTGTTTGTTTGTTTGTTTGTTTGTTTGTTTGTTTGTAATAATCGAGTCTGGACCAGACAATCCAGTGACTGACATTATCAGCATCGATCTGCGCAATACGATGGCATGCATCAACCAACTCATCGAGTCTGACCAACCAATCCCGTTAGTCGCCTCTTACAGCAAACATGGGTTGCTAAAGGCTAATTCTACCCGGGATGTTCACAGGGAACAGCTGTAGGTCAGAACACATACTGATTCAATATCTTCCAGAAAAGACTGCCGGTCCAAAGAAGGTATACACCCATGTTTGATGTTGACCAAAAATGAAACAAACAAGAAATGGTTAATCGATGGTGATGTATTTGAAACGTGTATCATAGATGTGTTTTGAGCCTTATGTTTCCAGCGTTTCGGCGACTGTTTCAACCTCACGAGGTTTTGAAAACGTTTGTAATTTTTGGGTCAAATCCAGATTTCATATAGGTTCTTTTGCCTTCCAGTTAAGTTGTCATGTTGCAATATACCTTTACACGTTGTTCTCAGACGATCACCTATAATACAAAATGTTTAGTATGCTGCATATTTCATATAGGTTCTTTTGCCTTCCAGTTAAGTTGTCATGTTGCAATATGCCTTTACACGTTGTTCTCAGACGATCACCTATAAAACAAAATGTTTAGTATGCTGCATATTTCATATAGGTTCTTTTGCCTTCCAGTTAAGTTGTCATGTTGCAATATGCCTTTACACGTTGTTCTCAGACGATCCCCTATAAAACAAAATGTTTAGTATGCTGCATATTTCATATAGGTTCTTTTGCCTTCCAGTTAAGTTATCATGTTGCAATATGCCTTTACACGTTGTTCTCAGACGATCCCCTATAAAACAAAATGTTTAGTATGCTGCATATTTCATATAGGTTCTTTTGCCTTCCAGTTAAGTTATCATGTTGCAATATGACTTTACACGTTGTTCTCAGACGATCACCTATAAAACAAAATGTTTAGTATGCTGCATATTTCATATAGGTTCTTTTGCCTTCCAGTTAAGTTATCATGTTGCAATATGACTTTACACGTTGTTCTCAGACGATCACCTATAAAACAAAATGTTAAGTATGCTGCATATTGCATATAGGTTCTTTTGCCTTCCAGTTAAGTTATCATGTTGCAATATGACTTTACACGTTGTTCTCAGACGATCACCTATAAAACAAAATGTTAAGTATGCTGCATATTTCATATAGGTTCTTTTGCCTTCCAGTTAAGTTATCATGTTGCAATATGACTTTACACGTTGTTCTCAGACGATCACCTATAAAACAAAATGTTAAGTATGCATCATATTTCATATAGGTTCTTTTGCCTTCCAGTTAAGTTATCATGTTTCAATATGACTTTACACGTTGTTCTCAGACGATCACCTATAAAACAAAATGTTAAGTATGCTGCATATTTCATATAGGTTCTTTTGCCTTCCAGTTAAGTTATCATGTTGCAATATGACTTTACACGTTGTTCTCAGACGATCACCTATAAAACAAAATGTTTAGTATGCTGCATATTTCATATAAGTTCTGACAAATATTTTCATGTGTCTCTTCACTTTGTCCGACAGTGTAAGGTCGGCTACGCCGGGGACGGCAAGCTGTGTTTCCGCGACACCGACTTGGACGGCATCCCGGACGAGGACCTGCCCTGTAGTCACCGACGGTGTAGGAAGGTGCGTACAGTTGCTATGGTTGCTTCACTCAGTGGGAGCTCGTTTCTATCATAAGAATGGACTCAACAAATCAACAAGTATTTTCGCTGTTTGATTTGCCAAGGATACTCCCCGGGGAGTTGAGAATAAAAAGACCGTGGATATTGATCCACTGACAGCGGTAATAATGTAGTGCATATTGGTGTTATTATTATTGATGTTATTATTATCATTAAGGCCCAGGGTTAAAGGGTGCAATGTGTGCATGTGGTCCAATGCAAGCAGCGTGGAGTCTCTCAAAGTAGTGAAATGGGGTTTAACGTCGCGTCCAAGATTATTGCACTTATATTGCGACGTGCATGCACGTGTATGTGTGACTGGTGCCGATTTACAGTGCTAGCCCACTGAGATACCATGCCGCAGTTTAACATGGATACCCCACTCAGATGATGATGCTAGATTATTGCTAACGGCGGCGTAAAACCATACTCACTCACCAAAGTACCTGTTACCCTCTGTAAAGTTGTTGTTGACATACTCGATGGTAATGCTGGTCCACAGTTTCCTGTGGGTGGTTAGGATGGCACAGTGATGCATGTGCCGGTACACAATTCCCCTGATTGATTACCATGTGATCAGATATAGTTTTCCTGTCACACTTATAATGTTTCTCGTGAGACGGATTACTGAAATGAAATAATATTCCCTTACTAAATCTGATTCCAGGACAACTGTATCGATGTGCCAAACAGCGGTCAGGAGGACGCCGATGGAGACGGCATTGGCAACTCCTGCGATGAGGACATGGACAACGACGGTATCATCAACAATCCGGTTAGTGGTCCTCTAGAATTAATATGATGATGTATACACATGTTTTGGATTTAGAGGACAAACTGAAATGATTTCAGAATATTGGCTAAACTGCGACGTAAAACAAAATGCATTCACTAACAACTTCGAGTACGTTAAGTAGATATTGTCATCATCTTGATCTGGATTTATTAAACAATCCGAAACATTTTCACACAACCCATTAATTGTCTTTTTTCATACCTTATTGTCTCTACTGTGACGTTAAACAACATTCAATTCAACACAGGTACGACAGGTAGATATTGTCATCATGCTTTTTCATTTCAGGATGGGGGCACGGGTGGCCCAGTCGTCTAAGGCGCCGCGATTCGCTGTGCAGAGTTGCGTCCCTTGGGCACGCCAGAAACCTATGATTGTGGGTTCGAATCCCTGTTCGCCCCGATTATGTTTCTAGGTTTGTCAGCACCATACCCGTGCTCGTGGGTTTCACCGAAGTGGTAAAGGTCTGAGACCTGCATCACTTCGGGCTTTCCTCCCACATTAAGCTGACACGCCGTGATATAACTGGAATACTGTTAAAAACGGTGTTAAACCCAACTCACTCACTCACTCATTTCAGGATAACTGCCCCTTGGTAGCCAACCCTGACCAGAGTGATTCAGAACGTGACCCGGACAAGAGAGGGGACGCTTGTGACAACTGCCCCACTATCCCCAACCCTGACCAGACGGACACCGACACAGACGGCATGGGAGACAACTGTGATCCGGACATCGACAACGACGGTGAGATCTGCACTTCAGTGTCTTTAATGAATAAAACTTAACTTTAAAAATTATGTATTCATCAATTATAATTTGTGCTGAAAGATCGTTTCTCTTTACCTATACGTGTTTTAATCACTTTGACAGGTATTCTTAACGAAGACGATAATTGTGTACGTGTTAAAAACGTGGACCAGGCTGATATCGACAGCGATGGAGTTGGCGACGCTTGTGATAACTGTCCGAACATCAAAAACAAGAATCAGGTTCGTGACTTCAGAGCAAGACTAAACTACGGATGTAACGAAGGGTTTGTGAATGTCACTTCGTTACATCCGGACTGTTGAATTCCCATTTGCATTGGCTCCCAATAACTAGGATTGTTTAACCTTTGCAAGGTCGAATTTGAAACTCATGTGCACCATTTAGTTACGCCTTCTTAATGGACTCGATGTTGTCTTGCTTGACAACGGTATAAGGTATACGCTTTTTTCAGTATTAAATAAGTTGTTATCCATAAAATTGTGTCCTTGACTCGATGTAAATGATGCATATTCAGCGAGATGAACAGCCAGGTCAAGTTTGCCAGTAAAATGGGGTTTGACGTCTCGTTCAAGATTTCTGCACTTGTATTGCGACGTGCAAGCACGTGTGTGTGGTTGTTAGTACCAGTATGTACAGCTGGTACAATATACTGACGCCAGACCTAAAGTCCTTGTTTGAGCCGCTTAATGTCGAGCACCAGGCAGGGTAACAACCACCATCTTTTTTCGCCTTTTGGTATGATTCGGCCGGGAACCAAACCATCGATCTTCCGCTCTTCAAAACACTAGACCAAGGAGGCGGTCAGTTCGTCTGTAATATATGATTCATTTAAGCCAACCTGTACAAATAACATATTTAATATTTTGCCCCACCGTGAAGACCCGGGGTAGAATAGGTCTTCAGCAACCCATGCTTGCCGTAAAAGGCGACTATGCTTGTCGTAAGAGGCGAATAACGGGATCGGGTGGTCAGGCTCGCTGACTTGGTTGAGGATGTCATCGTACCCAAATTGCATTGATCGATGCTCATGAAGTCAATCACTGGATTGTCTGGTCCAGACTCGATTATCACATACCACCGTCATGAAGACGGAATACTGCTGATTGCGGCGTTAAACAACAAACATACATATTTTGTTCGTATTTGTCAAACTCACCCACTCAATCACTTACTCAACCACCCCCTCAACCACCAACTCAACCACCTAAACCTGTTTCTTCTTGTCTGGCAGTTCGATAGTGACAACGACCTTGTGGGAGACGTGTGCGACACCAACAATGATGAGTAAGTCCATTTATAAGTCTATGTTTTCACAGTGCGGGGTTGCGTTCTTTTGGCGTGCCACAAACCTAGGATTCCTCATTATGTTTCAAGGTACAATACAGGCGATCCCGGGTTTCACCAAAGTGGTATATGTCTTAACCCTACATCACTTCGAATTTTCCTCCAATATCATGTCATAACTGAAATACTGTTCAAAGCAGCGTTAACCCCAACTCACTCACTGCTTCTTAACTTAAATAATGTTGTGTGTGATGTTGTTGAACAGCGACCGTGACGGCATACAAAACAACAAGGACAACTGCGTGGCCGAGCCTAACGCTGACCAGGTGGATGCTGATAAGGATGGTCAAGGTGAGTGGACGTGGGTCACGTCGGGTCAGCAGTGAAGTTCAGGCTGCAGTACTCACTTGTACACTCATTGCATTGTGGGAACGTCTAGCAAATACCACTTCCTCCCACTAAAACGAGAACCTGTTGCCCATGTTGAGTATGTTAGGTATTGCTGGGAAAGTGTGTCATGAGTTTGAACAATGTACCTGAGAGTTTAACGTCGCCATTTGCAATATTCCTACAATAACAGGGCTCAGGACACCACAAATGGGCGTCACACATTATACCCATACGGAGAATCGAACGCAGGCCTTTCGCGCGCATCTTCCCGAGGCAAGAGAGTTAACTGACTATAAAAGTCCAGTTCCCACTCTTGCCGAACTAGCTGATATTATTGAGTTACATTTTGGCTGGACTAACATAGTCGCGCACCGAAATCGAAATCCGGTTCGTAAACTGTCGGGCAGATTTCGGTCGATTGCAAGATTTGCAAAGCATGTGCATAGCCAACTCCTTGTCAGCAGATATTTTCCAAACCATTTCATGTTTTTAATCAAGGTGCTCACGTGATTTGATGCACTTCGCGATGTAAGACCCCTTTTATCCCAATATAGATCTTGATCATTGATCAGATCTTCCTGACTGGGCGCCACCATTTTGTGTTAAGCAAACGCAAGTGATACGAGAGTTTGAATCTGATTGGTCCATAGGAGAGGCTTAGAAGGGACATAACTGGTAATAGCCACTGGTGGCGCTACGATCGAGCCCAGTTATTCCAGCCTAGTTCGGCAAGGGTGGAAACTGGACTTTTAAAGTCAGTTAACTCTCTTGCCTCGGGAAGATGTCCGCGCGACGAGCGAATGTTTTAACCACTGGGCTACCCCGCCGTCCATTTTGTACACTATGATTGATGCTCACACTTTTAACCACTAGTTTGCCTGTACACGTGACACGTGACCCATGTATCCAGTAAGCCGTTCTCAATGATGTTTCCCCGTTGTAGGTGATGCCTGTGACAGCGACGACGACAACGACAAGATTCCCGACCCCGTGGACAACTGTCCCTTAGTGCCCAACCCTGACCAGTTGGATTCGGACAGTAAGGAAAATATTTATAACCAAGAAGAGGGGGTTGTGCTGAACATGTTGCCTTAGACATAGCTGTTTCAATATCACCTCACTTTGATGAAATGGTTCTAAGAACGAAAATACATATTTAGTAATGAATATATCCTAATCAGGGGACGGCAAGGGTGACGTTTGCCAGGACGACAACGACGGCGATGGTCAACCGGATCAGCTGGACGTGTGCCCCGACAACGGGGACATCTACGCCACCGACTTCAGGGCATACCAGACAGTGATCCTTGATCCCGAGGGAGACTCGCAGATTGATCCTAACTGGATCATTCTTAACCAGGTGAGCTACGAAAGGATGATAAATAGACCCTACCTGGGATGGAGTTCCCGAAAATGCTGTTCTATGAAGATTTTGTCTGGGTATATTCATTTTACGGAACACTTATCTTATATATTCTTATTATATTCACTAGTACTTGCAAGGTTGGAGCTTATACAATGATCAGAAACATCGCAGAAAAGCAAAAGGTTGTTGATTATGGAATTCTTTTTCTTTTTTTAAACTGAAACTTGTTTTAACTGCCTTTACACACATCACGTAAGCAAAACATCTCATATTCAAAGATTAGAAAGATTAAAAATCCATATTAGGCTTTCTACACACACCAGCTTTATTTGTTTTTTCGATGTCTACAAACTACAAGTATCTACAGACCCGTGAAGATCCGGGGTAGAATAGGTCTTCAGCAACCCATACTTGCCGTAAAAGGCGACTATGCTTGTCTTAAAAGGCGACTAACGGGATTGGGTGGTCAGGCTCGCTGGCGTTAAACAACAAACAAACCCGTATCTGAAAGAATAAGAAAAACCATAATAACACTTCTGATGACATTCACAGCAATATCAAAATCTCCTCGTTGGGATTACTGGTCAAAATCCTATGCTAGTCGACTTAATGGATCGGGTAGTCACGCCTATGGCGTGTCATCATACTCTGAAGGCGTGAATAGTTGCTCAAAATGTCAATCACTGGGGGGTTTTTCTGGTCCAGAATCGATTATGAACAGGGCGCCGTTATGTCGCTGGAACATTGCTGCGTGTGGTTTAACAACCTACAAATTTGTATAACTCGAGCAGCTCTGCTGGGGTCATAGAGGGGTTGCCTCGTATTGGTTGATAACCAGTCATATACAATGTATGTCAGACACCGTGAAGATCCATGTTAGACTTGATCTTCAGCAACCCATGCTTGCCGTAAAAGGAAACTAACTGGATCGGGTGGTCAGGCATGTCATCGTATTCTAGTTGTGTAGATCGATGCTCATGATGTCAGTCACCAGAGTGTCTGGTAGAGACTTAATTATTTACAGACCGCCGTCATATAGCTTAAATATTTCTAAGTGTGGATTTAAACAAAAACCAAAGAAATAAACATAAATGTAAGAATACGCTCTCACTAAAGTTGGATACCATTTCAGGGTGCTGAGATTGTGCAGACAATGAACAGCGATCCGGGCGTGGCCGTCAGTGAGTGCACTCCAATCTCTCATATATCAACATGTTTTAACAATATGCTTATGTCATGCTAATAGCAATATGCTTACATGTAATTCAATATGCTTATATCATGCAGGTGCCATGCTTACATGTATATCAACATGCGAATACCATGCAGGTGTCATGCTTACATGTATATCAACATGCGAATACCATGCAGGTGTCATGCTTACATGTAATTCAATATGCGTATACCATGCAGGTGCCATGCTTACATGTAATTTAATATGCGTATATCATGCAGGTGCCATGCTTACATGTAATTCAATATGCGTATATCATGCAGGTGCCATGCTTACATGTATATCAACATGCGTATATCATGCAGGTGCCATGCTTACATGTAATTCAATATGCGTATATCATGTAGGTGACATGCTTACATGTATATCAATATGCGTATATCATGCAGGTGCCATGCTTACATGTATATCAACATGCGTATATCATGCAGGTGCCATGCTTACATGTAATTCAATATGCGTATATCATGCAGGTGCCATGCTTACATGTAATTCAATATGCGTATATCATGCAGGTGCCATGCTTACATGTATATCAACATGCGTATATCATGCAGGTGCCATGCTTACATGTAATTCAATATGCGTATATCATGTAGGTGACATGCTTACATGTATATCAATATGCGTATATCATGCAGGTGCCATGCTTACATGTATATCAACATGCGTATATCATGCAGGTGCCATGCTTACATGTAATTCAATATGCGTATATCATGCAGGTGCCATGCTTACATGTATATCAACATGCGTATATCATGCAGGTGCCATGCTTACATGTAATTCAATATGCGTATATCATGTAGGTGACATGCTTACATGTATATCAATATGCGTATATCATGCAGGTGCCATGCTTACATGTATATCAACATGCGTATATCATGCAGGTGCCATGCTTACATGTAATTCAATATGCGTATATCATGCAGGTGCCATGCTTACATGTAATTCAATATGCGTATATCATGCAGGTGCCATGCTTACATGTATATCAACATGCGTATATCATGCAGGTGCCATGCTTACATGTAATTCAATATGCGTATATCATGTAGGTGACATGCTTACATGTATATCAATATGCGTATATCATGCAGGTGCCATGCTTACATGTATATCAACATGCGTATATCATGCAGGTGCCATGCTTACATGTAATTCAATATGCGTATATCATGCAGGTGCCATGCTTACATGTAATTCAATATGCGTATATCATGCAGGTGCCATGCTTACATGTATATCAACATGCGTATATCATGCAGGTGCCATGCTTACATGTAATTCAATATGCGTATATCATGTAGGTGACATGCTTACATGTATATCAATATGCGTATATCATGCAGGTGCCATGCTTACATGTATATCAACATGCGAATACCATACAGGTGTCATGCTTGCATGTATATCAACATGCGAATACCATGCAGGTGCCATGCTTACATGTAATTCAATATGCGTATATCATGCAGGTATCAAGCTTACATGTATATCAACATGCAAATACCATGCAGGTGTCATGCTTACATGTATATCAGCATGCGAATACCATTCAGGTGTCATGCTAACATGTATATCAACATGCGAATACCATTCAGGTGTCATGCTTACATGTATATCAACATGCGAATACCATTCAGGTGTCATGCTTACATGTATATCAACATGCGAATACCATTCAGGTGTCATGCTTACATGTATATCAACATGCGAATACCATGCAGGTGTCATGCTTGCATGTAATTCAATATGCGAATACCATGCAGGTGTCATGCTTACATTTATATCAACATGCGAATACCATGCAGGTGCCATGCTTACATATGATTCAACATGCGAATACCATGCAGGTGTCATGCTTACATGTAATTCAATATGCGTATATCATGCAGGTGACATGCGTACATGTATATCAACATGCGAATACCATGCAGGTGTCATGCTTACATGTAAATCAACATGCGAATACCATGCAGGTGCCATGCTTGTAAACATGTAATTCAATATGCGTATATCATGCAGATGCAATGCTTACATGTATATCAACATGCGAATACACACACACACACACACACACACACACACACACACACACACACACACACACACGCACACACACACACACAGATAAAACGATGTTAAATATTGCCTTACGCTAAATCAGTCTGTTTTATCAATTAACGAACAGTGTGTCTTGGAAAGGATATTTCATACAATTAATAATATATTTACTGTATCCTACTTTTGTTTAAAAAGCGCCCTCACGTGTTGGAAATTACTTATGAGCAGCCTTAAAAGAGCACACAGAGATTTCCTTTCCTTCTGTGGTTTGCTTTTGTTCTTGATATTACTCACCGTAATGAAGTGTTCAAGAGCTAAGCCTTCATCAAGCAAAGTTGAATGGGATTTTTAGCTTACAACGTTACACCACCGGAAACATAAAATGCGCTCTTAGCGGTTAATAAGTTGTAGATGATGTCCTTACAAGAATGGTGCCATATGGAAAAAACATATATATATTGCAATTGATTCCGTTGCATTTGATTGGCCAACCATGCAGATAATTTGCGTTTATATTTCCATAAACCGAAGAAACACTAGGGCCACGCCCACTAAAGGAGTTTTTTCCTCCTTGGCTGTTAATAGAATGGGCGGGGCTTGCGTTGCATTATTGCTCACGATGTCACTGATTTCGTATTGTTGTCTGCAGTTGTTTTGTGATGTTAGTGATATAATAAGCAGTCTTTTAAGTTATTATTGTTGACGTATTTATTTTTATAAATTGCATTCAATTTGTTTTGGCGATCATGGAGTAAAAGACGTAAAAACTGGTGTGCAAACTTTGTGTGCATACCGGTTTTCTTGTGTTGATACCTCCATAAACGCAACATGTATCAAGTCAGTTCTTAATTACATCTGAGTCAGCTAACTCTTTCATGGACATACCTCAGATGAATAACAACTAAATACATTCCGAACAGGTTTCAACGCCTTCAGCGGAGTGGACTTCAGCGGCACGTTCTTCGTGAACACCGAGGTGGACGACGACTATGCCGGCTTCATCTTCAGCTACCAGGACAGCTCCAGCTTCTACGTTGTGATGTGGAAGAAGAACACCCAGACGTACTGGCATCCCACCCCTTTCAGGGCCAAGGCCGAGCCGGGCATCCAGCTGAAGCTGGTCAAGTCGGTGTCCGGCCCAGGCGAGGTGTTGAGGAACTCGCTGTGGCACACAGGCAATACTAAAGGACAGGTGGGAAGATCATCTTCTACACCACCCTCCATATCATTTCGTAAACCTACACTTAACCATTGATACATTCCCGTAGTGGTCCCAAATTACCCGCCCTTGATTTCCTTTAGCCAATTTGATTGGCTACGCTCCTCAGTCGAGCTGGCCAATCAGAATGCGAGTTACAAACCAGCCTTGATGTTGGGTTGGCGATGTCAACAACATGGCGGCCAGTCCCATCGATTACGATGGAGTTTCCGAGCAATTCCAACATTTAAAAAATTATTAAAATTAAAAGCAAGACCTCAAAGATCATTTATGTGGAAAGGATGTCTTCATGTCCGTTAAAACTGATATGGAAAGTCCCTTACCAATTCCCTTTTCCTTATCTCGACGTTTGATTGGTCGGTATAATGTTAATGAAAATTAAGGGCGGATATTTTTAGATCTTGAGAACCACGGGAATGTGCCAGGGGTCATTGTAGGTTTACCGCAATACGAGCCCTGGAGATACAGAGGATGTGGGGAGGTCGATGATTCACTCAATATGACCTTCATAATCTTAATAGTTCCCCTCCATCAATAATTGGAAATTTCCAATTACAGAATGGATCCCCTGTAACCTATATTTGCCGACAAATTAGGATCGGGTCGTTACATTGTGGGACCCAACTTCGTGTGTTAACCGTGGGTTGCGAGCTGTGGCGTAAAACAACATTCACTCACTTTCATCTCTCCACTAAGTCCAATAATATTATTTTCTCTGCTATTGTTATTATTATTTCGTGGCAAAAATTATATAAAAAACGTATGAGGGACTGTTGTTTACAAACAAGGATGCAAGCGGGGACGTTTTTTGATCATGTGAATCTGGCACATTTCAAAAAGCCACATTCAGTTTTGTTCTACATTTGACGGTAAATATTTATCAATTATAATTCTCGATTATGTTTCATAGTTGAAAGCATAAACAGCACCCTCGTCTTAAATACCAAAGGTGTATATTTTGTGAGCCTTTAACAATACATTGTAATTCCAGGTGAAGTTGTTATGGAAGGATGAGCGGAACGTCGGCTGGCAGGACAAGACGGCCTACCGATGGGAGCTGATCCATAGGCCCCACATAGGCCTAATCAGGTAATGTATTGAGCTGATCATCACACGTAACATAGGCCTAATCAGGTAGTGTATTGAGCTGATCCACTCACCAGACATAGGCCTAATCAGGTAGTGTATTGGGCTGATCCACAGACCCAACGTAGGCCTAATCAGATAGTGAAAAGAGCTGATCCACACACCCAACGTAGGACTAATCAGGAATTGAATAGAGCTGATCCACACACCAGACATAGGCCTAATCAGATTGTGTATGTAGCTGATCTACAGACCCAACGTAGGCCTAATCAGGTAGTGAAAAGAGCTGATCAACACACCCAACGTAGGCCTAATCAGGTTGTGTATTTAGCTGATCCACACACCCAACGTAGGACTAATCAGGAATTGAATAGAGCTGATCCACACACCAGACATAGGCCTAATCAGATTGTGTATTTAGCTGATCCACACACCCAACGTAGGCCTTATCAGATATTGAATAGAGCTGATCCACACACCCAACGTAAGGCCTAATCAGGTAGTGTATTGGGCTGATCCACACACCCAATGTAGGCCCAATCAGGTAGTGTATTGGGCTGATCCACACACCCAACATAGGCCTAATCAGGAAGTGTATTGGGCTGATCTACAGACCCAACGTAGGCTTAAACAGGTAGTGTATTAAGCTGATCCACAGACCCAACGTAGGCCTTATCAGGTTGTGTATTTAGCTGATCCACACACCCAACGTAGGCCTTATCAGGTATTGAAAAGAGCTAATCCACACACCCAACGTAGGCCTAATCAGGTAGTGTATTGGGCTGATCCACACACCCAACATAGGCCTAATCAGGAAGTGTATAGAGCTGATCCACAGACCCAACGTAGGCCTAATCAGGTAGTGTATAGAGCTGATCCACAGACCCAACGTAGGCCCTATTCAGGTTGTGTATTTAGCTGATCCACACACCCAACGTAAGCCAAATCAGGAAGTGTATAGAGCTGATCCACAGACCCAACGTAGGCCTAATCAGGCAGTGTATTGAGCTGATCCACAGACCCAACATAGGCCTAATCAGGAAGTGTATAGAGCTTATTCACTCACCAGTCGTAGGCCTAATCAGGAAGTGTATTGGGCTGATCCACTCACCAGTCGTAGGCCTAATCAGGTAGTGTATTGAGTTGATCCACACACAAGACATAGGCCTAATCAGGAAGTGTATAGAGCTGATCCACTCACCAGACATAAGCCTAATCAGGAAGTGTATTGAGCTGATCCACTCACAAGACATAGGCCTAATCAGGAAGTGTATTGAGCTGATCCACAGACCCAACGTAGGCCTAATCAGGTAGTGTATAGAGCTAATCCACAGACCCATGTGAGGCCTAATCAGGTAGTGTATTTAGCTGATCCACAGACCCAACGTAGGCCTAATCAGGTATTGTACGGGGCTGATCCGGAGACCCAACGTAGACCTAATCAGGTATTGTATTGGGCTGATCCACAGACAATTGCCGAACAGTTGATCTTATAAGACCTTATCATCATTAGCTCTTGCTCTGAGTATGTTTATGAAATCATCTACAACGGGTTTGTTTCTTATTCCCGTTTTTGCTGTGAATCCCTACTGAACGACGTAATACCAATGCCTGGTGAGTAAACTGACCAGCACCACTAACAGATGATGAATATCAATATACCTGCTTATTAACAGACAAGACCTGTGGCGATCCGGGCAACCCATGGTTGCCGAAGAATGTGACTATGCTCGTAAGAGGCGACTAACGGGATCGGGTGGTCAGACTCAGTGACTCCGTTGATGCATGTCATCTTATCCCAATTGCGTTGATCGATGCTCATGGTGTCAATCACTGGATTGTCAGTCCATATTCGATTATTTAAGGACCGCCGTCATATAGCTGGAATATTGCTGAGTGCGGCGTTAACAAACAGACCAACAATTGTTAATATTGAGCGTAATACTATAAAAAAAAAGACTGAAGATGGTTACTATTACCTGCAACTTTAAGTAGTATAATAGTATCTTACATGTGGTGGACGTGGCTTTGTAGGGTGCTGCTGTTCAAGGAGACGGAACTGGTGGCTGACTCTGGCAACGTGTACGACACAACGCTGAAGGGGGGACGTCTCGGTGTTTTCTGCTTCTCACAGGAAATGGTCATCTGGTCTGACCTGGTCTACAGATGTAACGGTGAGGGGTTACACTGGTCAATTTCGGACATGAGAACTATTAAAATCGTTATTCCCGACCATTAAAAGCATTCCATAAACAAAATGGTAACGCATTACAAACCATTTTGAAGAAAACATTTGGCTTTTATTATCTTCTGTGTTACTGAAGAAAATGTGTATCGTGGTATGATTGAGTGAGTGAGTGAGTATGGTTTTACGCCTCTTTTAGCAATATTCCATCACTATCACGGCGGGGAACACCATAAATGGGCTTTACACTTTCACACCCATATGGGTAATCGAACCCTAGCCTTCTTCCTGACGAGCGAACGCTTTAACCTCTAAGCTATCCCACCGCCCATTAATATTGATGACACAAAAAAATGACTCAAACATCTACGTTAATACTACATTTGACACTGAAACCAGTTTAAAAACTGAAGGTAACTGACTTTGTCCAACTCAGACAATTAATTGATGAATATAGAAACATAAAAATAAAGATCAGTCAGTTTGTAGTAATTATTATCGTTTTTATGGTCATTGCCTAATGTTATCCTGCAATCGTTATCATCACGGGTGGGTGTGGGCGTGGTTTTACCTGGCTACATCATTTGATTACATAATGGATCAGGCTATCGATGCGATAAAATATCGAATACATTTGATATCACGATCTGACAAATATGTAAATGGGGTCCCAAAATAGCTACTAAAAATAATAATCTTAATAAATTTAATCGATGCAGGGCCCGATCTTCTAAGGCGCCGCAATTCGCTGTGCAGAGTTGCGTCCCTCGGGCACCCAAGAAACCTATAGTTGTGGGTACGAATATCCGGGTTTTGCGCGATTAGGTTTCTTGGGTTTCTTGGTTTCAACATACCCGTGCTCGTGGTTTCACCAAACAGGCAAATATCTATCCTGCATCACTTCGGGCTTTCCTTTCAAATCAAGCTGGCATAACTGATATAACTGGAATACTGTAGGAAGAAGCGTTAAACTCAAGATCAATGTCTACTGCCAATTCCCAATACGTTTGTGGAGTGTTTCTCTATGTGTTGGTGTTCTTCACACAAACATGGCTTCAAATCATTTGGCACTCTTTCGTAAATAGGACAGTTCACTCCAGCATTGTATTCATACGCGGTGTGTAAAACTACTTAAGTGGGTGAAGTTACGTCTTAAACTTCGTTTAATGTAAGAATAACATTATATGACAAAGGTAGTTTTACTCCCGTGTGTTTCCGCAGAATTAGGGTCATACATAAAGAATACAATACATCATTGGCTCGCCTAATACAATTTGTTTTTCATGATGTTTTATATTTACAACACTGTATATGTAAGCGACCAAACCATTTCCATAATAAAAGTCTCTTCTAACACATCAACTAATAATCACTATATATGACAGTTTGCTCCATGTTCTTGTGTATTTTGGTTGATGTTTCCACGTCATGACGATTAGAATTGATTGTGTTTTTTTCAGAATTTATCCCCCCTGGGCTTCTGGAGGATGAGGATGAAGAGTATGAATACTATGAATAGGTGTCACATGATCTTGATCACGTGTGAATATATTAACTGTAGACAGATTGTCACATCAAAGTTATATTAATATTCAACCACCATGGAGAAATATGTGCTTTCTCAACTGTTCTTACATTTGAAGTATTGTCCCTCCCTACGCGACCCCGATAAAGATGAAACTGCAGTCGGCCATTTTAAGAGATGGAGATATGGAATGTACATACATTTTCCTCATATATTGAAATGTAATTTCATTAAGAAGAAGCAGTTATTGTGATTTTTATTCAACATTCACAACAGGTTATATTTTTATGATTCATATCCATGTAAATTTTTATATTTTTGTTTTTGTACATAAAACATAGGTAGAGTAAAGAGATCGATCTCAAATGTGTGTTGTTCTTTCTTTACAGTGAAACATCATTAGTCCGAAACCCCGCCTTGGGGGCTATTCATGTCCTGGCGCCGGCGCCTATGCAAAGGTTATTATATGTAACTTTGATAGGGTAATCAATTCGATAATCCGGAGGGATTGACTGGTGATGCTATTTCCTTTGGTTAATCCGAACCACGTGACGAAACAATTCCTTTCAGTGAAGAAATCACGTGACTGACACCTCTAGGTTACTGTAATGAAACAGAGGACGGTTTAAAGGCGTCATAAACTTTAAAGTTCGGCATAACAAAACGAATGATTACTACGAGGTCAATATACGAAAACAAGGACCCTCAATAAAAATCCAACTGCCTTCCTTTGATAAAGGGCAGTTACTCTAGTGTTCGGACCGATAGATTGCAGCGAACCGTAAGTAGAAAGGATATGTGTAGGTATTTCTTAATTTGGCACAATATGTTGTTTCGTCACTGTCTAATACCCCGTTCACATGCACAACATTTACTAACGTAAGTAATTTTACACATGTGTAACTATACATACGTGCGTATATGTAAATTTACTATGCGTTCACATGAAAAGCATCTTAGGTGTGTAAATAAAGTATGTAAATTGTGTAAGGCACACATATTCGTCAGTCTGTTTACGACGTTCAACATAAAACAGGTTGTTGTCCTATCAGAGTTGAATGAGAAGAGAGTTACTTCACCGAAAATTTTCGCGTGAAGCAGCATGTGTTTGATTAATTTGTACACAAAGTTTTGACTCCTTGAAACCAAAAGAAAACACCGTCCGCTCAACATGCACTGTATATACGCATAAAACTGTTGACAGTTTGTTTTGGTGTTGTCAAAAGAACAGATATTAGTAAGATCATCCTCTTACATTGACATAAACGTTCACATTGCAACATATACACACAGTGCATTTGCACCTGCTCCAGACATGATGCAAATTTGCTCCTGGTGTAAATATACACAAACGCGTTCACATGACAAGTATACTCACGTATGTATTTCTACACACGTATCCACATATACACACATATGTATAGAGGCGCATGTGAACGGGGTATTATTAAGAAACAGGTTTCAGTTGGAACTGTGTTCACTTTTGTCACTGTCCGTCCGACAAATCACTGACCTTCTGACGTAATATATATGTCCTCAGATCTTTGTCGGTAACGAGAACAAAGATCTGAGTTCAATTAGATTATATGAGACACCAAGCCCAAACTTCATCTATTTCTCTGCTCATCAGGTCTTACCATGAAAACCCTCATACCCAGGATGAGGTTTTACTTACAAAAGGTAATTTAGCCCCCTAAGGGGTCATGGCGATCAAGTAACACCCTAATAGGCAATGGTCAATATCCTTCATTTAAGAAAAATACGGGTGTGGGGGGCTGGGGGGCGGTGTTTATCTTACAATAAACCGCTGCTGGGAGAATCAACTACGAGGGGCGCAACGTGGTTTATTCTCCCTGTAGTGTTTTATTGTACGATAATCAACAACCACAAGTCGTTTATTACTCATTTGATATGTCAACTTTATTATCAGTCTCTTTACGGTTGTGCATAAAATTTGCCATCTTGGTTGTCAGTAAAACCTTGGGGCAGCAGTTAGTTTTTGTAAGACACTCGAATTTAATCATTTACGGGAATAAACTGAACTGAACTTTTATTTACACTTAGGGCGCTATCAGCGGCATTAGAGGTTGATGATCATTTAATGAACATATACATGTTTAAATATAAAATAAATTCAAAACATACGCTTCATAACTCCGAAACCTTGTGTTAACCACTACAGAGAACTCGAATTTGGGATTTTGAAACTCTTTAATTCGTCATTGGTAGAAACTGAATTCACTACAATAGGTCTCTGTTGTATGTAAAGGAAATGCGAACAAAGCCATGTAGCTGACCAGACAATCTAGTGATTAATATAATGAGCATCGATCCATGCAATTGGGATCGATGCCATGCATCAACCAAGTCAGCAAGCCTGACCACCCGATCCCGTTAGTCGCCTCTTACGACAAGCATAGTCGTCTTTTACGGTAAGTATGGGTTGCTGAAGACCTATTCTACCCTGGATCTTCACGTGCCCATGCTTGTCGTAAGAGGCGACGTATTCCAGTTACATAGATCGATGCTCATGATGTCAGTCACTGGACTGCCTGGTCGAGACTCGATTATATTGTGTGGCCGCCGCCATACATTCTCATTAACATCAAAGCTTTTGCTCGCTACCGCTAAACAAAGATCTGAGGACATCCCATTACGGGTCACGTCAGAACGACCTTTTATCCGACCGGTCAGAGCGTCGCTTACCAGATGAGGAAGGTGATCATGCAACCTCGAAATGGTTAACACGGGATGTTCCGAACGACAGTTATAGGCTTTACGGATGAATCTTTCAAAATCATCGCCTATTTCCATTCATCACCACTCCCATCTTTCCGTAACAATCACGAGTCTCCCGCTTTAATAGGATAAACATTTGCACAGAAGGGACTTTGTATTGCTCGCGGGAAGTACCGCCATACAACCTTGGCCATCTATTAGACATTCCAGAATATTTGTGTTTTTCAAATTTACAAATTTTGAATTGATAACTTTCTCAAAATATGTTTCAAAGCATAGTCATAAATGGAACTCGACAGTTTGAAACTTGTGCCGTATAGTTCGAGAAAGCTGCTTTCTGATTGGCTTATATCGATTTATTGTCAGTCATTTCATTGGTCATTCGCGAAAGGTCGTACTCCAAATGGGAAAAGGCAAATACTGGTAACGTCTGTCCAGAGATTTATGGCCTCGTGTTTGTCAGTTACAAAGACAAAGAGGTCCTGACCAGCCGCAGATATTTGAGAAACAAGAGAAACTTTGTCTACATAAACGAAGATCTTACTAAACACCGGAGTAAAATCTTCAAACTGACAAGATATCTAGAGTAAAAATAAACAAATCTACTCAACGTGGACATATGGTGGACAAGTTTACATCAAAGAACAAGAACTATCAACAGAGGCTCTGATTTCCACAAAATCCTGTGATAACTGTTGTGAATCTGTCAGTTTGTGTGTCACTTTATAATTGCAACTTCTGTATCAGAAAGGATTAATGGCACTTTAAGACCAGAAAGCTGCGGACGTAAGTAAGTTGTCGGGGTTTTGGGGTTTTGTTTTTTTTGTTGTTGTTGTTGTTGTTTTGTAAATACATATGTAAATATGGTTAGACAGTATGTCCACGTACCATTGACATCTCGTTTCGGTTACCGTTTTTGATATTATGTAATATATTTGTATGTATCTTTAACAGCGGGGTTGTCGAAGTTGACAAAAACGGATGCGATAAGTGATCATTCATATTTTGAAGACCCGTGAAGATCTGGGGTAGAATAGGACCTCAGCAACCCATGCTTGCCGTAAAAGGCTCCCATGCTTGTCTTAAGACTAACGGGATCGGGTGGTCAGGCTCGTTGACTTGGTTGATGCATGTCATCGTATCCCAATTGCGTGGATCGATGCTCATGATGTCAATCACTGGATTATCTGGTCCAGACTCGATTATTTACAGACCGTCGTCATATAGCTGTAATATTGCTGAGTGCGGCGTTAAACAACAAAGAAACGAAACGAAATCATATGTTGTATTCGGCGCTGATCTATGCACAGAATCATAATCATTACAAGAGAAAAATCTGGTGTTACGACAATGGCGGCTATGGTAAACTAAAGTGACCTATGGACGATACAAAATCGCAAGAATTTTTCACTTAATGTTCTAATGTAAATTAAAAATGTGAACTGTTTAGTAAGATATTAAATAGCTATGTCCAAGAATGCGTTCCACCAAAAGTAGTTTGGCCATGGCCATGGTAGTTTGGCCAATGTCAGGCCATGTTACGAGTCACATCTAGACATGGGAAGCTGGAAAAAAAATAGGGTGAGCGTAGAGGCAAAATTTGTATGCTAATATAGATGAACAACTAAACTCGCATAATAATAATTCCGGCACATCAAACTGCATTACAGCTTGAAAGAAAACACTGATGAAAATCTCTGATATCGACAAAACTGAAAAATTAAATGCATATTTTGAGTCCATAACACAAATGAATAACGAGGTTTAGATTTTGATAGATTTTCTATTTCGTACAGGATATACACTTCACAACTTGAACACTGGTGGTATAAATACTTTTATACGAATAACTCCTGCCTTTTCGCGAACACCTGGTGTCTTCACTATTTGATAGTGATTCATAAACGGTTTTGTCGCTTTTATTATTGTATTAGTATCAATCCGGATTCCAAGGGGGCCACCGGTGAAGATCCGGGGTTGAATAAGGGTCTTCAGCAACCCATGCTTGTCGTAAAAGGCGACCAACGGGATCGGGTGGTCAGGCTCGCTATATCGATGCATGTCATCGTATCCCAATTGCGTGGATCGATGCTCATGACATCAGTCACTGGATTGTCTGGTCCAGACTCGATTATTTACAGACCGCCGTCATATAGCTGAAATAATGCCGAGTGTGGCGTTAAGCAACAAACAAACAAATTGTAATTCAAATTGTGTAAATACCTGAGAGAAGGTGTCCTCAGTTGGAGAACTTGTACCCAATCCCATTCACTTTTTGTGAATAAAATATGTCTAAACTAAAGGCCTTTCTGACGTGACCTGTAAAGGGATGTCCTCAGATCTTTGTTTTGCGGTTTTGAGATTGGCCGTCATAAAGCTGGAATATTGATGACTGTGGCGTTAAACCTCAACCAACAAACCAAACAGTAACTGACCAGTAACTGACCAGTAACTAAGAGGGTGAGTTTTGCTATTCATGTACCAGTTGTAACATTTCAGTATCACTGCATTTACATTGTCCTGGAGTAATGCTAATTGTGTAAATATTATGTATTTTTACATAGGAATTAAGTATTGTCACATTTGCAAAATAATTCAGCTCTAAGGTTTTTGGAACGTATGTGAAGACATTAAAGTTACATGGCACAACATTGCTATCTATGTAGCATGTTCTAAAAGAACACGACTTACTTTTTTAATGCTATTTTAGTAACTTTAACATCACTAAGTATTTGACGACGGTCGAAAACGGCGACAACTTCAAAAAACACGTCAACATTCGCGAAATACTCATTTCCAGAAACTCGACCCGAGTTGGAGGCTTGAAGGCACGAATTAAAGAAGGGTTGTCAATATACTGTAATTTCCATCCCAAGACTTGACACACCATAGGCTCAATACGAACACGTCTTACGGAGTAACGCATTCTTCGGTAGACAGCAGTGTTACTTTGCCACGTACTTAGCCCATGTTTAGATATAGCTGTAGTGACGTAACAAGGTCACAGACTGACCACAGGGGATCGAGTGAGTTGTGTTTTACGCCGCTTTTAACATTTTTCCAGTTATATCACGGCGTGCCAGCTTGATTTGAAATGAACGCCCAAAGTGATGCAGGATAGATATGTGCCTGTTTGGTGACACCACGAGCACGGGTATGGTGCTGACAAACCTAGAAACATAATCGGGTCGAACCGGGATTCGAACCCACAATCATAGGTTTCTGGCGTGCCCAAGGGACGCAACTCTGCACAGCGAATCGTGCCCCCCACAGGGGATCGAACATACGACATAAGCCTCTCTGTAGGTGAGGTGAGGTGAAATGGGGTGTAACGTCGCGTCCAAGATTATTGCACTTATACAGCGACGTGCATGTACGTGTGTGTGTTTGTGTGGCTGCTTGTACTAGTCCGGACTGATGCCGATTTATAGTGCTAGCCCACTGAGACTCCGAGCCGACCAGTCCTTGTTTTAGCCCTTTAATGCCGAGCGCCAGACAGGGTAACAACAAGTACCATCTTTTAACGTCTTTCGGTATGACGCGGCCGGGGATCGAACTCCGGACCTTCCGCTCTCCGGGCGGACGCTCTACCACTAGACCACGGAGGCGGTCCTCTGTAGATGAACCCTTATGTAACGGACAGTGGTAGGCATCGAACTCAGAGTGTGACGAAAGTCAGGTCGACACGTTGCTTATACACACGACAACAAATGAATTAACAGAAGTACGATACCACTGGTTATCGATGGAAACGGAAAATGCTACACTCTGATTCGACAATATATGCAATATATATCGTTGACTTTAACTTGATTGACAGTTATGTTTTAATAAAATAATCAATATAATGAAGTTAAGACATGCATGGCAGGTGGCATATTTCTTGGGGCGTGAATCAGCAATCCTTAATGATAAATGAAGGACACCGTCACAGAGGACGGACATCTAATCCTCTTATAGTACCGTTATTGCGTGACATCAGAGCGCCAACTGTGCCATCTTCCCGAGGCAAGAATAAAGAATAATGTTAATATTTTAACCAACCATAAAGTGAGTGAGTGAGTATGGTTTTACGCCGCTTTTAGCAATATTCCAGCAATATCACGGCGGGGGACACCGGAAATGGGCTTCACACATTGTACCCATGTCGGGAATCGAACCCGGGTCTTCGGCGTGACGAGCAAACGCTTTAACCACTAGGCTACCCGACAGCCCACCAACCATAAAGAAACAAAGAGACTAAATATATATAAATGAATAATAATGTTAATTTCATTTACAATAAAGAAACAAATTTAATTAATTTATTATAGAGAAACACAACACCTATTTTTTTTACACACAGATTATGAAAATTATCAACAAATTATAGCTTGTTTCCTTGATCGTTGTTTAAAATTATATCTTTTATCATAGGCACTTTGGCAGGGTATATAGGTTTTAACAGGGAGTCTATATATTTTAACAGGGAGTGTATATACGTTTTATATATTCCCTCAAGTAAGTAAGTAAGTTGATTATATCTATTTAAATAAACAAAGTGCTGCCAATACAAATTATAACAGCAGCTGGGGTATCATTACCATGGCCAGCAGCACAGAGTCATGTGCCGGTCAGCGGGTTGTAATTAATAAATAATACAAAGTAATACAACATTTAGCACATACTTAAAATACAAACACCAGGCCTCAGAGGGCCGAAATGACACCTTAAGATATTTCAAATATAAAAATACAATTAGATATAAAAAGTAATCATGCATATTCTTAATATCTACATATACACATATTCTCTAACACAATCACATAATGCATGCATGCATGCATGCATACACACATACACACATACATACATACATACATACATACATACATACATACATACATACATACATACATACATACGCACGAACGCACACAATCAATCATTCTAATATTCTCCCGCACATACTAAACAGACACCCAAACACATTCAGATATCCCCCACCCCCTTTACTCGAGACACACACACACACACACACACACACACACACACACACACACACACACACACACACACACACACACACACACACACAACCTCACTCACAAATACACCCATACCCAAATTCCTGCATCTACACACACTCCATATCCTTTCTTCTGACCGTACCAACATTCATATCCCCTCCCCACACACACCCATGACCCATAACCTCACACACTCAATTACACTTTTCATATAAAATTCATATATTGAATAGTTATTGTACACCTTGCAGCCTTGTGTGATACATCTTCTGAATACAGACATGTTCCTTACATAGTTGACAAAGTCCATTTACCAAAGGAGTCACAGGCTTGGTATACCTGTCACTTTCTATAGCCAGAGGAAGGTTTCCACAATGTAATGAGGCTAATATACTTCTTTGTTGTCTGGGTAGAGACATTTTCACATAGTGAGAAGTTTGGATAGTTTCTTTATATTTCCTATATGTTCGTAATTTATTTCCATTGCAATTAATCCATTGATGCCAGAGCATGGCCGGTTGGCCACTGAAGCTTAACTTTGTGGATGAGGTGCTGGATACTGCAGGCTGACCATATATGGATCGTAACACGATACATGGCAGTCTGACAGTGAGGGTTAAAAATAGTACGCTTTCTGTGAGTGGGACTTTGACCCTCGGACAGGGGCTAGGCAGGTTGGCCCTCTTACGCCTCAGAGATCCTGCCTGGCCATACTACTATGTAGTTATATAGACATATTAAGATCACGAATAAACGTTGTGGACCCACAGACGGACTTGTGTGTTGTCATAAGAGAAATATCCGGTAGAGCATCAACGTCTACTTAGTATACTTTCATTTCGCAACGACATTATTATTATTATTGGCATATAATGATTGAAAGGAGGGATAGTCGGTATCCTGTGATAGCACTCTGTTACGCCGTACCCCCTTCAGGGGGGGGGGGGGGGTCCGGTCCTAGGTATGAATACACAATACCCTTAAGAAAATGGTCAGATGTAACAACTGGTATATTTAGGATAACACTTTTATAGTAAAGTACATATTCTAGTACTTTTAGGGGGTTGAGTCCCATTCGAGATTCGAACCCACACGCTCAGAGTGAGGCACCTAATCGCCAGCACACAAAGTAAGCGAACGGTGGCTGAGTGATATCGATGTGTATACTATGGGGTTATCGGCTATAGTTTGCAAACGGTCGACGTACTGGCCCTATTAGTGAGTGAGTGAGTATGTTTTACGCCGATTTTAGCAATTTTCCAGCAATATCATAGCGGGGGACACCAGAAGTGGGCTACTGGACCAATTAAATATCATATATTTTGTTTTTTGTATGTGTCTACAGGAATGTAAATTATGTATGTCTGTATATATGTATATATGAATCATAATGTCTTGTCTTTTAAAAATTGCATCTGTCCCGTAATGGAACGTTTCTGCAATAAATATTATCTTATCTTATCTTATCTATAGTAAGTATACTTTGAGTTGGGCGCGAGTTGAACCTCGGACCGCCACTGCAGTAACGCTGTGTAGTTATTTTAACATCACAGAAATAAGTGTTGTGGACTAGTGATGGACTCCTAGATATTGCAGTTTATCATTACCATTGTGCACACGACCAACACAAATAGACTGGCTGCTTTGTTACAATGCGCTGGTGAATGCGGTTTTGTCCAACTCCACACAGCCTTATATCGTTCCCTACGTCGTCTGTACGAAATGAAGCGAAGTGTGCACGCGCTGAAGCAGAGTGATTAAGAGGAAGAAGGAACTCGGTCAACGAATTGGCGGTATGGGGAAGGCCCAGTTGAATCGTGGACGCTAAATATAGACTCAACAACTTTGGCTGAGACGCTCTCATCGTCAAAACGCGGTGCGAAGACACGTTTCACTGATGTAAGAATTCAGTTTTGTTTCTAATCGTGATGGTGGTTTTCAATTACAGTGATGCCAGCTTGTGTTAAGTTTTAGTGGATATCCGTTTTTTGTTTGGATGACAACAATACAGAAATTACGTTATAACGGGGACTGTGTGTTCAAGCGGAGTACTTCTTGTTTCGGTTTAGAATAACCAAGCGGACATTGTCAAACAGAAGTGGAAATACCAGGTATGTTCTCTGATTAAATTAGCTGTTTTAATAATGTTTGTTTACGCATAACAATGATTCGATCATAATTTTCTCTGATATAAACAACCATAAGGCCTATTCATATATCCTATATACATAGGTCGCGTCAGAAATTGGCACTAGTCCTGTAGTCCTGTAGTCCAATGTTACCGAACTGCCCAATAGTAAAGGTATCCTAAGGACTAGTAGAAATTGGGCCATTTTAAGGGGTTTGCTATATGTTATCATTATAAGGACCAGTGGACAAAAACTGTTAGTTTCTAACCCTGATAGGATGTACCACAGGCCCCTAAATAGGGAAGTACTTTGCTCCTGCCAGCTGCCCCAGTGTCTATTCATTTCCAGGCTTAGGTATGGCAACCATTCCTGCGCATCACTCTGTAGGCTCTGTAACTGGTGATATAACATATGCAAGCTCCTCCTGAATCTGCTCCCTGAGAGGCTATTTTCCTTGGAGTAAACAAAGCTAATGGTTTTCATATGGCTTCAATTGGATCCTATACATGCGCTGAGTATTGCCTAATCCACTGAAGAGTTTTGGATATATTTTCTTGTAAAGGTTCTGTTTGTTCAAGGAGACTGCAACAGGTCTAGCATCCTCAGTGATGATTTCCATGGCTTCTATTGCAGGCTTTCCAAGCAGGGTACATGTTGTTCCGAGTTCTCGACTACATAAAGTTTTTGTGTGATCTGTTTGTCCTGCCATTTTAATGTGATCACAAACTGTCCACAAACCTGGAGCTTGTACTCACCATGCAACTCCTGAGAGCTTTCTATCAGGCGATACATACTCAATGTCAGAATTACCATATATCGCCATCTATAAAGCGACCCCACGTATAAGACGAGCCTCCTGTACAAGCCTACAAAACCGATGCTAATTTATATACCCTGTCTATAAAGCGAATCGGAATGAAGCACATCACCAGCGCATACACAATACCTACATTTGCAATAAAAACATATTTGTCTTGCATTGTATCCCTTCAGCGAATTCAGGGAAACGAACATATATCTGCAGGGTTTTTCTTTGGTATCAAAGTCACATTGGTGCCTGTGTCAATCTTGAATTCCACATAATGCTTGGCAACCTTCACCTTGATCATTTATCCTTTGCATGTCTCATCATGGACTTATTCTACCATTGCTTTAATACGTGTATCCACGTTGACTGAACCTACGAATTTTTCCTCTTATGATTCATTATCACTAACTACTACATGCACGTTTCTGCTTGAAGACCTGTCCACTTTTCCCCCGTCCGTGTCATACAAAAGGACGTTAAAAGATGGTACTTGTTGTTACCCTGTCTGGCGCTCGGCATTAAGGGGCTAAAACAAGGACTGGTCGGCTCGGAGTCAGTATACTGTGTCTGAGTGGGGTATTCATGTTAAACTGCGGCTTGGTATCTCAGTGAGCTAGCACTATAAATTGGCATCAGTCCGGACTAGTACAAGCAGCCACACACACACATACACGTGCATGCACATTGCTATATAAGTGCAATAACCTTGGACGCAGTGTTAAACCCAATTCCACCTCACCTCACCTACCCACTTTTGTCCAATGTCCATTCTTTTTGCATAACTTGCAATTTGAATCTCTAGCCGGGCATTTCAACTTGAAGTGCATGTTGCCTCCACAGCGCTTTCTGAGGTCTGATTAGGTGTGTACTGCTAATACAAATGTCCTTGAGTCCAAGGTGAAATGGGGTTTAACATTACGTCCAAGATTATTGCACCTTTATAGCGACCTGCATGCACGTGTGTTGTGTGTGTGTACCATTTCTCTGAGTGCAGGTAGATGCCACAGTCACTCTTGATTCAGCAATCACTCAGGCTTGCCAGTCAGAAACTGTACACACACAGCAAGGGGCCATGAGAAACAACGCAGAAGGGAAAATTAATTCAGTTATCCGAAAGGGCAACCGCCTCCGTGGTTTAGAGGTAGCGCGTCCGCCCGGAGAGAGGAAGGTCCAGGGTTCGATCCCCGGCTGCGTCATACCAAAAACGTTAAAAGATTGTACTTGTTGTTACCCTGTCTGGCACTCGACCTTAAGGGGCTAAAACAAGGACTGGTCGACTCGGACTCAGTATACTAAACATAAACTTGATAAAGATATAGTTCTAGTCACTATCAGATTGATAAGTAAGAATGAATTATTCCTCATCTCTATGAAATATGATCTAGTTTGCATGATAATTATCTGTGATCGTGCAATGGGTGGAAATATTACCTGTGGTCTGTGAAAAGGTGGTCTGATTACCTGTGATCAGTTATTGGGGATCAATTCACATGTCACAGCATGAAAAATAGAGGTTGACCTATCAAATTACTTTTGCGTGTCGTCTTGGATACAAACAAAAAACCAGGGGTCAGGCTGGTTGGTGTATGTCAGCATGACCCATTTGCGTAGGTAAATGATCATGATGTAAGTCACTGGATTGTCTAGTCCAGGCTCAATTATTTACAGACCGTCGTCATTTACCTAGAATATTGCTGAGTCATGCGTTAAACAACAAACAATCAAAAAGAAAGATGATCCAAGTTTCTTTTCAAGGGGAATTGGAGAATATGACAACTTATATAGACTCTTGGTGCTTTAGCAAATACTTTATCACTAACTTAGTTCTATGGAGAAATCATCTTAGGGAGCCTAGGAAATAGTTAATATGTAGACTTTAGTCACCAATCTGACAAAGAATTTGAATGGAGCTTTATCATCCCAATAGGGCTGGAACGGGTAACTCGGGTACTCGGGTCGGGTGGGTCATCAGTAGGACCCGGGTACCTACAGGACTACCCGGACCTGTGGTTAGTCACGTGATATATTGTTTAATGGCAAAAATTCTTTGGTTACACTATAAGTCACTTATGTTCCCATTTCTTTCTGACAATGCACCATTCCTTCTTACTTTTATATGTTTGAATAAAGATAAAACTTCATGCAGTAAACTTCAGTGTATGCATGACCAGATCCTTTTACACGTGTACAAGTACAATTTACCAGGGCTACAGTCAAACCTTTCCAAATCAGACATTTTGTACCTATCTCTAAATATCTACAGCGGGTACCCGGGTAGGGTCGGGTAATAGGGAGGTGGGTACCCGGGTAGTAAATTTGGACTCGTCCCAGCCCTACATCCTAAGATCCAAGGAGTGGCAATACAACATGATGGACTAACAAGAATTACACACCAATATGTCAGGTTACAATTACCTGGTTGAAGAATCTGCCCTCACTTCTATGTCCAGTATTAAAAAAGTCAAAATAGTTTTTAAAAAATTAATTTGATTTGTTTCCACTTTCTTGCTAACCCTTACCTTTTAACTTACCAAGACAAGGTGTAGGTAGCACCGTCATGGGACATAATTAAATGTTTTCATGGCGCTAAAAATATGAAAACGTATATGAAAAATCTTTTAGAATCTTTTTCTCAGACACCACAGGTTTTGGAATCAGAGTGAGATTTAAATGTTTTCATGAAAGTCCAATAGAAAAACATCTGTGTGCTTCTGTTTTTAATAATGTAAGAATGTAAGTATCATTTGCAACCATTTGGGCCATCACCATGATCACAAACAGATTGTATTTTGGTCGCGAAAATAAATGCAGAAGCCTTTGTCTAAAGAAATACTGATTGCAATACTGAAATTATATGTATTTATTGCTTAAAAAATTAGCTAACCTGAATTGCAAGTCGAGGTTTATGAACTTAAGTTGTGTTTTTCACTTTTTGTTACTATTCTTTTGCTATGGCCTTATAATAATCATAATATAATTTCATAAAAAGTAAAGTCTCTTTCTCTGCTTACAACCCCTGCAAACCCACCATACAACGCAACGTCAGGTGAACTTTCTAACCAGCCAATCATCTTCAAGGCTTCTAAATTCTCAGTACCAGCGATCAAGAAAAGCATTCAGAGAATCGTGTATGATTTCTGTTTCTTAAAAAAGAGTGAGTGAGTGTGGTTTTACGCCGCTTTTAGCAACATTCCAGCAATATCACGGTGGGAGACACCAGAAATGGGCTTCACACATTGTACCCATGTTGGGAATCGAACCCGAGTCTTCGGTGTGACGAGCGAACGCTTTAACCACTAGGCTACCCAACCGCCCTCTTAAAAAAGAACATTAAGATTCAGGTCCATGTGCCAAATGACAAATGCAATGCATTTTCACATTGGTATATTCTTGTTGAGTTGTTTAAGTCTTCTTGTACTTATCTTAAGTATATTCTTGTTTTGCCTTTAGCAAATAACACGATATTAGTTTACGAGAAAATACACACGGTAATCTTAATCTCTGCATATAAAAGAATACCTTAGAGAGCAGGAAATAAATTTTAAATGGTAAATCATCATGTCTAGTGATGTTTTATATCAAATTTCATACTTGTATTGACCAAGTTTGTTATAGATCTACCTGTTTATTCACCTGAAGGGATACGATGTGTTTTGTTTTTTTGAAAGCGCATATTGATACTCGATAAATCTTTTTATGCACTGTGAATCATAAATAACTTCTATTCTTTTTTGAAACCCTGAAACGTGCAACGTAGATCGTGTTAGGTAGGCAGAGCAAGTATACTGTTTTGTTGGTCATCTACCACCTACGACTCAACCTTCGTTAAACCGCCAATCATCTATAACGCTCATCAATTAATTGGACCCCGAAGGTAGCGTTGTAGCGAGGGATCACTGTATGACTTTTATTATCTGATGTTGCAATTATCCAGAAAAAAGTTTGGTGAGCTACAGAGCCTGGTAAGAGTATTATCTTCATCTGTGATGCTACAGATAAACCTGTGAAGCTTAAACTTTGAAAACATTATCCCTGCAGTTGTTCAAAGATAACACCCTTGTTTATTTGTTTGTTGTTATGAAGTACTCAGCTGTATGACATCAAGTCTGGATCTGACAATCCAATTATTGACATCATGAGCATCAATCCTCACAGTTAGGATACAATGGCATGCATCAACCAAGTCAGCAAGCCTGACCACCTGATCCCATTAGTCGCCTCTCACGACAACCATGGGTTGCTGAGGATCAGTTCTAATCCAGATTTTCATGGGCAGAATCCACCATGTTCCTTTTGTATATCATTGCCAACTATTCATATTCATTTCAGCCAAAAGATCCAGAAATCAACAAATATGGAAGAGCCCTGGGCATACAGACCACAGGCTTGGGACTCCACTGAGGTAAGCTAAAGTTTAGCTCACCTTACCTTGGTATTCGGTACTGCACATTGGTATTGCTAAGATCAAGAAATATTGATTTTTGGTAGGGATGAGAATGCCTCATAAGTGTTGTATATCATGTACACAGAATGCAAATGAGAGATATATCTTAGTCACGAAAGTATCTATTGACGTACCGTAATACCACTAAAGGGTAGTTAGAGTTATCTGCCCTTTTTTGGACGAGGATGAAGATAGGCAATCTCATTAATTAAAATCAGATCTTAGTTCTCGTGATTGCTAAACAAAGATCTGAGAACATCCCATTACGGGTCACATCAGAACGACCTTTCATCCGACCAATCAAAGCGTCCCTTACCAGATCATGAAAGTGACAGTTCTAATCTTGCAACCTCCAAAACGTTAACATGGGGTAATCCGATTGACAATTACAGCCGTACGACTGATTCCGTCAAAATAATCATCTATCTCTCGCTTCCGTGGGATAAACATTTGAACGGAGGGGGTGTTGCACAGTACGTGGGAAGCATTGCCATACCTTCTCAACCATATATTAGACATTCCGGAATGTTCATTTGTTCAGTTTTCAAAATGTCAACATATTTTTCAAGCGTCGTCTGAAATGGAAGTCGCCAGGTTGAAACGAGTGCCATAAAGCTCGAGAAAGCTGCTTTCTAATTGGCTGATGTCGACTTCTTGTTAGTCATTTCAGTGGTCGGTCAAAGTTCACGAAAGGTCGTTCTGATGGACCTGTAATGGGATGTCCTCAGATCTTTGTTTCTCAGCAGCGAGAACGTAGGTCTGATTTAAATGAGATTGGAAGATGGGAAGATAATACATGCAGAATGAGAAAGGAGGAAGTCTGAAACTTAAAACAGGAAACTTGGATCCTGGGTTTTCTGAAATGTTTACCATTGTTTACAGTGGCTACGTGCTGGAAATATGTTATTGCATCTTTGGGCATAAAGATGAATGCTTAAAAGTTCCTCTCTGCCAACTCACTAGCAAACACCACTCTCACGTCATTTTGTTGTCTTCATGTACCAGGATGAAGACAGCCAGGATATGTGTGTTTCTTGACTTGATGATATATATACACTACCCACCCCATAGTTAATGTCCACAATAATATGCCTTGAATTGTCGGTTTGAAATTAATACAATGTATACAGTAAAATGCCTTCTGCCTCGCTTTTTTTTCAAAATTTGGATCAAAATTTTTTGGAAATAAATAATTCTCACTTTTAAGTGCTCTTGTATTATGACTACATAAAGATGATGTGTTACACCAAACCTGAAATGTCTAAATGCAAGCTTTTAATCATTTTTAAGAAAATATGATGTGTATTAATTTTTGAGTGAGTGTTTTTACTGCAAAATATTGTTATTTAGCCACAGATTTGAGTAATTTTACCACAGAATTCATCTGGGACTAATATGTTTCCTGTACATGAAGAAATAAGACCCATTTTTTTTATTAGTTGGTTTACCGAATATCTTTATCAAGAGCCTAAGTAGACTTAGGGCCTCAGGGTATGTGCAGTGACATCAATAACATTGTTGGGCATCAAGTCAAGCACAAGGATGGTCCAGTAGTGTAAGGCGCCACGATTCTCTGTGCAGAGTTGGCATGCCAGAAACCTATGATTGTGGGTTCAAATCCCGGTTCGCCCCAATTATGTTTCTAAGTTTGTCATCACCATACCCGTGGTTTTCACCGAAGTGGTAGACCTCTGAGACCTGCATCACTTTCGGTTTTCCTCCCACATTAAGCTGAAACACCGTGATATAACTTGAATACTGTTATTTCCAGGCTTTAGACCCCAGACTTTATCACTAAAGGTCCCCAGGAATGGAAAATAAATAGATCCAGGAAATCCCTGGTATTTGTCATGGCTAATCCTGTGTTTTTAAGGGGGGGGAGGGGGGGTGTAAATTATTCTCACATTCCTAATATTTAGGGTCGAGGGATCCAGCAACAAGTACTAAACTATAAACATCTAGTGTGAGTTATCTTTCATCATATTTAGATTATTATTAATTTTTTTTTTGTGACAGCTGAAAGAATTCCTGAATGGCGAAGGAGCACAGCTGATGGAGAATGACGAGTTTGAGGCCACTGTCCTTTTCGACGGTGACAATGGTGACATTGAACAGAAAACCATATCCATCACCATTGATCATGAGCATAGTTGTATCAGGACTGGGGAAGAATGTGTTGCATTCACACAAATACGATATATCACAACGAAAACCAGCCTAATGACAAAATCCGATGAAAACATAGTAACATTTTCCTACCGTCAAGCAGAGAGTCATGACATCAACAAGAAAACAAAATATGTTTATATGAAAGTCACAAGTGCTGCTCAAACAGGCAAAGTTATGAACAAGTTCCGTCAACTTCAGTTTACACCGTTGAGAGCGATACAGGATGACTCCCACGCAAGCACGATATTTGATGCTTTTATTCCATGTTTTGTCGCTCGACTCCATGTAAAGGTGACTGATGTGAGATCAAAGAGCAGCGTTGCAGACGAGGAGTTTGTTGTGGTATTAGACCAGGAGTGTCTGTGTCTGTTCCTGCATCCATACAGTACAGTGCCCGACTACCAGGTGAACTTCTGGAAGGAAGAAGGGGAGAATGTTGTGGACAAGTGCGCTGTCATCCATGCCACGCAGCAAATGGAGATTGTGACAGCATCGTATATTTATCACATGGAAAAGGTGAGCCACTAGTTAGAACCCGGGTCTTGTCACATTCTGGGTGCCCTTGTACAAAGAGACCTGACCCCTAAGGTGATCGTAACTCCCATACCTTAACATAGCCACAGTCGTAGCGCTAAGGTTGTTTTGTGTAACGGCACCCTGGTAAACTTAGCTGATAAGAGTCCATGTATTGATACAAACTTTCTCAGTATGATGTTATGACAGGCCTAGTCGTAAGGTGCCACTTTAGGATGCATTAGAAGTTGAAGCAGCATCACTCAGGGTACATGGGGTTTTAGTGATCCTGCTACGACAAATTTATCTTTCGACATGTTTTGATATGATATTGTAAAAGCAAATTCAAACTTGATAGAAAAAAGATGTTTGATTGAGCTGAGGTTAACTTGTGCTATGTCACATGACTCTCATTGACTCGGAAAAAAACTTTTTGCTTTTTGTTTCAAAGTGGGGTAAAGAGGATTTACTCTGCCTGTCAGAAATCCACGTGCAGTCTTGCTCGTGACAGGTATAAGGGATTTATTCTCCCGCTGGGAAGTATATTTCCCTCCAAGGTAGGATACACAGTATTTTGGACCAGTCACGTAGACCAGTCAGATGTCATCATTCTGACATGGAGGTATCATAATGGTTTTTATCAATGCAAGTTCCAGCTTTCTTAAACATCACCTTTCCATGGCAAATTGGCATCTTAGACAGTGGTTTTCGGGCAGTTAATATTTGTGTAGAGAGAAATGAAACACCTGAAAGAGTGTGTGAGTGAGTGGGTTTGGTTGAACATTTGAACAGTATTCCAGTGATATAAGGGCATGTCCACTGGATATGGCCGGAAAGCCAAAAGTGATGCAGGTGTCAGCCATTTACCGCTTTGGTGAAACCCACAAGCACAGGTGTGGCGCTGACAAATCTAGAAACATAATCTGGGGGAACTGGGATTTGAAGCCACGATCATAGGGTTCTGGGATGCTCAAGGGACGCAACTCTGCACAGCAAATTGCAGCGCCTCAGATGACTGGACCGTCCGAACACCTGAAAGGAATTCTTGTTGTTGAATACCTGCAACAATAAGGTATAAAATAACCACAACATAGCACAGCCATTATTCTCCATTGAGAACTGTTCAATCGCCCACATGGGTACAATGCGCAAAGCATATTGCTAGTGTCCCCTGCCGTGAAATGGCTTGAATATTGCTAGAAGCGACACAAAACCCAACCTGTTTGTGTTGTTTAAAAAGATATGGAGGAGTGTTTGTCAGATCTTGACATACCGTATTCGACGTAATAAGCGCCCAGGGCGCTCTCAAAATAAGAAATAGGGGGCTCTTATTAGAATATTATATTTTGGTGGAAAAAAACAGAGTTAAAAGATAAATTTCGTGGTTTATGCTGACAGCCTGATATGTTTATATATGACCGATATATTTTTCCAGAATTTATTTGCCCATAATTAAGGGTGCATATAACACACGAGTGTGTATTATACGCGAATAAATAAGTCTTGTGTACATTGATCAATCGGAAGGGGTGCTAATTGAGTTTGTTCACTAGCCAATATATAAGCAAATATCGCCGTGGGCGCTTATTAGAGCGGGGCGCTTATTACGTCGAATACGGTATGTATTGGAGCAGTAGATCTGACCTGAATGAGATTGGTGAATAACTGCATGGTAAGTTTCTCTCTGCTTGTAGTGTGCCGTAGTGGACCTGCTGGTGAAAAACATGGGGAAGATTAAACCCAAGCCCAGGAACTCTTTTTTTGGTAGGTACTTGAGGTGGCTATTGACAGTAGTTTTGAAAATAAAAATTGTAAGTTACTGCTTTGTCAGCTGTACAAGATCCAGTTCCTACTAAATTCTGCAGTCCCAAAATATCAATATTTGGCAGTAAAGTTTGATCAGTTCTGCAACCAATTTTCATGAATTCTGCACAAAGTTCTGAAATCTCTTGAGCTATTTTTTTTTTATAAATTAAAGCCTTTTTTGGAAATATTTATCCATGATTTGTGAACTAACAGCCACAGCATGAAGCTATAAGACATGTGCTTGCTGTCATCACAATACAAAAGTTGGACTCACTTGAAAACAAAACCGGAATATTGATTGGAACACTTTCATAATGTTAAAATTTAAAATGATATATTGTAGAAGGTTCTTGTATCAGTGTATTATTCTAAAATTACACAAATAATAAAATAATTTATAATTAGAAAAATGCAAATGGGTGATTTTATGCAAGATGCGTCTATTTCTGCATCAAGAGTACAATTCTGAAAAATATTCTGCAACCACAGATTCGTGGAATACAGCCGTGACTGAAGATAAGATATAGTAATTGATTGCATATATGCAGTTATGAACTATATGCTCGGGATTACTACAAGAGTTTTGAACTCCATGGGATCAGATAAGTCAGTCCTTTGTTCACATAATAGTAAGATATTGGGGGTGGGGGGTGGGGTGACTAAGCCTGAGGGAGTCTTTGTGGCATAGGGTACTAAAGAAATGTACCCCAGAGTTACCAAGTGATCTATGGTGCAGAGTTGCTTACCTTTGCATCCAGGATCTGCTGATTTGAAGTACAAACTCCATCTTTTGTGTCTGCACAATACCCAGGGGACAAGTGGTTGAAATCTACAAAAGGCACAACTTTAAGCTTTCGTTCCACGGAGCTGACACACCTTATCATAACTGATTAATTGTAAAAAGTAATATTAATCCCAACGTACTCACTCACTCTTTGTATTTGATACTTTCTAGATCCAGTAGCCATGGTGAAGGGCGAACAAGGCTTCCAGGGTTGGCCAAAGAGAAGGTTGGTTACTAATAACTCAGATGCTGATGACCAGATTCAGTACACACGGGACACAGGTCAGTTACAGATAGCATCCCTCTCTGCTTGTAGTACAAGGTGAATACCACTCCTTCCAGAACCTTGTAGGGATTCCAGGGTTAGCATTGATCCCAGCGACCTGTGCTGATCTTACGAGGTGACATAACTGATGGGTGGTCAGACTCGGTGACTTGATTGGATGTCATTGTACCCCGACATCATAGATCATTCCTCATAATATCAATCACAGGATTGTCTGGTCTTTGCTTGATTATTAGCTGGGTATCATCATATAGCTGGGATATTGCTGAGTGTGGTAAACGTCAAACAATCAAACAGAAACTTTCAGACCCAGTTGAGCAACAGTCATATTCAGTACTAACAGAACTAGGAGATCCGGGTCATCAGCAACTCTTGCTTGCCATAAAAGGCGACTGTGCTTGTCGTAAGAGGCGACTAACAGGATCAGGTGGTCAGGCTCACTGACTTGGTTGATGCATGTCATTGTATCAAACTGCATGGATCGATGTTCATGATATCAATCACTGGATTGTCTGGACTTGATTATTACAGACCGACGTCATAATGCTGGAATATTGCTGAGTGCAGCGTTAAACAACAAACAGAACTAGGTTGTTTTTCCAGTTTTATAATATCTCCAAATACTGTTACATTACACAAAAATATGTGGTGACATTGAATGACGGTGGAGATAAAATTTACATCAGGGCATATGTAAACAATAGCACAAATAGAGATGATAGTAACACTTTTGTTCCTTGTGTTCCCTCTATCTTGCACATACGCTTGCTTCATGTTAGATGCTTGGTTACAGCTGCTGCAGTCACCGAGTCAAGGCGGATCTTCCTCCGAAACTTTAAAGGTATGTGTGTATTGGAATGGTTCAACAACAATAGCAGGTGCACTTAGGCTTATTAAACCATACCCGTGAAGATCCGGGTTAGAGTAGGTCTTCAGCAACCCATGCTTGCTGTAAAAGGCGACCATGCTTGTCATAAGGCGACAAACGGGATCGGGTGGTCAGGCTCACTGACTTTGTTGGTGCATGTTATCGTATCCCAATTGCATGGATCGATGCTCATGATGTCAATCATTGGATTTCTCTGGTCCAGACTCGATTTTTTACAGACCGCCATCATATAGCTGGAATATTGCTGAGTGCAGCGTTAAACAACAAACAAACAAAGTTAAGTATTAAACCCATTTGCCATTAAATTGTCCCCACCCCTTATAGTTCTGCATGGTTGTCTGACTGGCTGGTCGTTTGTCATTAAATATTCCATTTTCAACATCTGAAACTACAAAGCCTATGGAGTGGAAATTTTGTATGAATGATCCCAGCTGTGGTGCTTCTTAAAAGAGCTCACAGAATTCCAATCCGACTTGAAACATGGCTGCCATGTTGAAAATGTCATTTTTGCCCTTTACTCAAACATTTCTACATGTATCATTATTTAATTAAATTTGCAGCTAATACATGTATCATGTGTATGTGGTATGCAATATTATATACAATGTGGTTTTTGGCATATTTTGATTTTTTTTGTCAAGGTATGACCTTGCCCTTTATCATGTTTATGCTTCCATTTTTATGATGTTTTTTGCATTGTTTATGTCTCCTCTGAAACTGCATGTGTGTCTTTTGTTTATTATTACTTGAAATGAAGCTATACATGCATCAGGTACTACCCAAATCGCTTCCCATTCGACCTGTGAACATGGTGAAGATCCGGGTTGAATTGGTCATAAGCAACCCATGCTTGTCATAAGAGGCGACAAACGGGATAAGGTGATTAGGCTCACTGACTCGGTTGATGCATGTTATCATATCCTAATTGTGTGAACAATGCTCATGATATCAATCACTGGATTGGCTGGCCCAGACTTGATTATTTAGAGACTGCTATAATGTAGATGGAATATTTCTGAGTGCAGCGTTAAACAGCAAACAAACAAACAACAAACAAACAAACACTTCCTATTCGTATGCCAACCTCTCCAAACAATCAGATACATAACCCATCTGGACTCTCAGAATAATCCCATCAAATGTTTAGTAGTATATATATGTCATTATAAAAGTGATCAATTTCTCTAATTGTAGTTGTATCTTTTAGTATTTCTATTCATCAAAAAGAAAGAGGACAAGCAAGTAGAAATTAACTGAACTGCAAAATACTTGAAACTTGTCCCTTTTATGTCTGGTTGGTCCATTCACCAAAATATTTTAAGAGAGTGGCCTAATAGTGTTACCTTGACCACAGACAACCTGGAGTTAGCCTACAGGGAAGGCGAAGCCAACATGGAGTGGCACGCCATCTGGGAGCCGAATGACCTGATTATCAGACAGCTGCTGGAGAATGCCGAACTCCTCTCCAAGAAGGACGCACGTAGTGGAGGTGAAGTTATAAATAATACATTTCTAAGATCATACTTCCGTGATGGGCGGTTGCCTCGAGGTACTGTTGTTGGCTGTATGAGGTTGCATCCCTTGGTTATGGTGCTGGTCATGAGTTTGAATCCCAGATTCTCCTTGATATTGTTCCTTGGTTTGGATAGATTGTCATCGTTGGTTTGTCAGCACCACATCAGAGGTATGAATGAAATTATGAATAGACAGGGGGGGGTTTGTATTTTTTTTTTTTTTTTTTATTGTTTATGAAAAGTACCTGTTACATGAAATGGACTTCCACCCAGGGTAGCAGAAAGCCCTTGACATGAAGCACATATCAGTACATGAAAAGTCTTTTGACCCACATTAAGTTGACATTGTGTGGGTCAAAACCTCATTAAACTGATATGGTGTTCCCTTGTGAGTGAGTTTTACGCTGCTTTTAGCAATATGCCAGCAATATCACGGTGGGGGACACCAGAAATGGGCTTCACACATTGTACCCATGTCAGGAATCGAACCCGGGTCTTCGGCGTGACAAGCGAACGTTTTGACCACTAGGCTATTTGACCGCCCGTTCCTTTGTGAAGGTGCGGTTTGGAATTTGTCTTGAGCAACCCATGCTTGTCGTAAGTGACAACTAATGAGTTTGGGTGGTCAGACTCCCTGATTTAGTTGATGCATGTCATTGTATCCCAACTGCGTAGATCGATATTCATGGTGTCAATCACTAGATTGTCTGGTCCAGACTTTATTATTTACAGACGGCCATCATAAAGCTGGAATAGTGCTGAGTGTGGTGTTAAACAACAAACAAATAGAAAGATGATCCAAGTCTCTTTTCAAGGGGAATTGGAGAATATGACAACTTACATAAGACTCTTGTTGCTTCAGCAAATACTTTTTCACTAACTTAGTTCTATGGAGAAATCATAGTTACCAATCTGACATAGAATTTGAATGGAGCTACGTCATCCCAAGAACAAAGGAGTGGCGATACAAAGAGATGGGTTTTACAAGAATTACTCACGAATATCTCAGGTTACAGTTACCTTGATGAAAGAATCTGCTTTCTCCGCTATGTCAAGTATTAAAAGATTTTTAAAAGTGGTGTTGAAGCCAACTTACTCACTCTTTCTATCGCATCGGTACCTCCAACCACATCAGATGACTCGAAACTTGGCATATACACTGTTCAATTCTTGATAGTCATACTGAAAACATTCATTCTATAATGTGAAACCCAGTTTGTTTGGAAACCCCTCCTTCGTCAGTGCCAGGATCTGCTGAATGTAGGCTGGAATCCTGCATGTGGCCTCAGTATCATCCTTGGGTAGTCAGCACCGTGCCTGGCCTTCAGTGTTCACCACTATTGTACAAGACCTGCATCCCACTAAACTGATGCTGTGCCCATAAAGACTGTCAAGCCTCACTCGCTGTTCCTTGTTTCAGGTTTGGACCCTGATTCAATCGACCATTTCACTGCCACTACGGAAGACATCGTGGACAAAATGTTCTGTCAGGAGTAAGTACATATTTTCTTCTGTGTCATAGGTAATGACCACATGTTACTTAGTTCTGGCCCGACCGTCTCTGTGGTCAAGTGGATAGAGCGCCGGGAGAGTGGAAGGTCGGGGGCTTGATCCCCAGCCGTGTCCTATGAAAAGATGTACTTCTTGTTACCCTGTTGGCTGAGCATTAAGTGGAAAAAAACAAGGACTATTTGACCATGATTCAGTATACTGTATCTGAGATAGGAATTCATGATAAACTGTGGCATGGTATCTCATTGGGATAGCTCTGTAAACCGGCATTAGCCCAGACAAGTGCAAGCAAGCGAACACACAACACATGGCATGACTATTGTAAAATGAAAGAATCGTTAGGTCTTTACTTCTTTTGAGTAGTATATATCATATTGAGGATGTGTGTGTTAAATATGCAGTGTTCTTTCCAGGTGTGAAGCTGCTTTGTCATCTCTGATCAGTCTCCGGGAAATCTTCAGTGAGTGCAGTTATCCCGAAATGGAGGCCATCTTGTCTGATGATGACTACATGCTGTTGAAGAAGCTGGTGTTCAAGAACCTGTATGAACAGCCATTGTAGTGGGGTCATTCAGTACAATGTATGAATGCCCTATATAGTAGGGTCATACAAGAACCTCTAGGAACACACTCCATGTTGTAGGATCCTATCAACAGCCTATGCAGTGTGACTTATGAAATCAGGCCAAGCCAGAACAATTATCTCCCTTACACCTGCTTTATATTTTCTTTTCTATTTGTGTAGTATCAGTTTATTACATGTAGTGTGTACTTCAACCTTTACAATGTGCCCTTGCGGACCTATTGTCTCTAAGCCTTCAGTGAATATCAATAATTGTCATACTACTTTAAAACTGTAGTTGATTATTGACATGTCTGTTTGTCTGAAGTATGTCTGTGGTGTGCTTGTTGTCAGCCTGTTTGTCAGTTGTCTTTCTGTTTTTATGTCTTATAGCTGAGCAGCAACTGAGAAAGCACTCTTAGTTTCTGTAGATTCTTACACCGTTATCAAGCTAGAGTAATGTTTTTTGGTTTGTTTTTTAACGCCGCGCTCAGCAATATTCCAGCTATATGAAGGCGGTCTGTAAATAAACGAGTCTGGTCCTGGCAATCCAGTGCTTGACATCATGAGCATCGATCCACGCAACTGGTATACCATCATACTCATCATCCAAGTCGATGCTGACCACCCGATCCCGTTAGTCACCTCTTACAACAAGCATGGTCGCCTTTTACGGCAAGCATGGGTTGCTGAAGACCTATTCTACCCCAGATCTTCATGAATTACACAAATTATGCTCATTACTGAGAGTAACTATGTGCTTTGTTAGTGATAAGAGGTTGAGAAGCAGACCTTACTTCCAACACTTTGCTGGGTCCAGGATATTTATCACAATAGAATGGAGAACTGTTTTGTTTTAGACATTTTCTATTGACATTAAAGGTCAAATGGATTGGGCAAAAGTTTTCCAACTACGATGCCATTTCAATAAACATTTATACAGACAGTGGACAATAGTGTAAATATTAAACATTGAATATTAATAAAGTGGGATACTTCAATGGAAATAATAGCATTAAAGAGTAGCAGGTAGTCCAGGACAAGTAGTGCGATGGATATGCGCAGATCTCGGCTAACAAAAATGAATAATGTCATGTCATTCATCAAATGGTTGTGAAGGTTGAGACCTTAACATAGAGATAGACTCAATGACATACTCCTCAATAAATCAGGTGTGATTTATGACATAGGCCAATTCTTGAGCCTGAGAATGTATAATTTGGCCATGGTTACCAAGCTTTGACATGTTTATTTGTTTGTAATTAACTTTTATCTCATAACTTTTAGAAAATTCTGGTATCAACTTGTCACACCCATCTTTTCATAATCTATGAGCAACACCTGTGTCCATGTTAGCATTGAAAATTTCATCATCATCATCATCATCACCTGCACGTGCACAACATGCGTACACCCTCTCTACCTGTAACGAGCCAAACATGTCTGCCCAAATTCTGTGCACAGTCTACCTGGATTACAATAGATGGTGATTTACTGTACAATTTTCTGTTTGATGCAATTTTCATATCTATTTTTCTTCTGGCTTACCAGTAAAACATGTGATTGTGAACATCTGACAATAACATGAAACAATTGTTATGTTATTTTTACTAGCTGTGTCATCTAATGATGGTTTCTCCGTCCTTTAAGCCCTCAACACTGATAAGACAAATGTGTAGAGAACATTCGATTGCTGGAGTTTATGATCACATGCATGTTTCAAAATACTTCAAATTGGGAACAGTTTTTGAATATCTATAATATCAGAAGTTAACCACCTGATTTTTTTACATCTAGAGATAATCTGTCATAATGGACAACTTATATTATGAGTTATATTTTCGCCCAAAGATGGGTGAGGTGGGGTTGGCGTTGAGTGTATTATTGTTTTTCTCACTGCTCCCCCTGAACCTGAGGATGGAGATGTGAAACAATGATATGGATGGCCTGAAACTGTACACCTGGAGTATGTCATGGTACATTCAGCCTTCATGCTAGTCCTCTTGCCCTAGACTACTAGGGGTGGTTGAAACGTTAGGAGTCTAAACGCAGATGTATAGTACATGTATACCCTTAACAGTTTGGGTGTTAAGTACAATATGCTCTATGGATACAGACTGTCAACATTAGGCTTAAAAAAAAGAATTGGTTCTCAGGCAATGGCTTTTGAAAATATAGTGCGAGCAGGCGGTGGGTTTTTTTGGTGGGGAAGGGTGCTGTTCAAACAAAACGTGCTGCAAACTTTATGATGATGCAGGCGGTGCCTGACAACCAAGACTATTATCCAAGAGGGGAAGAGAGAGCCTCGAAGAAGATCCAAGATCTTCAACTGCAACCAAAGAAAATGTTGATAAAATACATTATATGATTATGGATGATTGACGACTCACCACATACCAAACAGCCAATGTGGGAGGCATCTTTCATGAGAGAGTTGAGAACTTTATAAGGAATATACTGGGCATGACAAAGGCTTCAGTGCACTGGGTTCCAAGGCTTCTGATTCCTGATCAGGACTGCTCCAGGTTTATGTCATTTTGAAGAAGACCCATCTGATTTTGTTCAGTGATTTCTTGAGTTCACAGCTAGAGACTGAACAACAGTCAAAGTAATGTCTCCTTCGATGAAGAGGGCAAAATCTGTTCCATCAGCTGGCAAGGTGGTGACTTCAATTTCCTGGGATTCTTAAGGAATCTTACTGGTGGACTACCTCCCGAAAGTTCAGACCATTAATGGCCAATACCATGTTAATCTGCTTTGGCAACTGTGTGAGATTACCAAAACTAAACATAGAAAACATTCCAAAGTTGTGTTGTTGCACCAGGACAACGCACATATGCAGAAACCTGTTGTCGCCATGGATGATGCAATGCATGACTGTGACTTTGAATTCATTAAACATCCTCCGTATTTACCAAACTTCAAGAAAAAATGGTCTGAATGTATGCAAATGATGATGATGACATAACTTTGGAGTGTTTTTTTAAACCACTCAGAGGAAGCAAGGCAGTCCATCATAGTTAGGCTCAGAAGTTTTACGTCACCCTCTGTACGAAATTATACTGAGGACAAATAAAGTCCATTGATTCTTATAATGACTAGTAACGTTTGATGGCTATAACACTTTACCAGCTCCAAATGCTGTGATTTCACTTCAATTCAGTCAAGCAAGACCAGTTATTAACTCTGAAGACTAGTTACATAAGTTCACATTTGTCCCCTGGATTCATCTTTAAAAAGAATAGTTAGGCTGTACATAACTGACGTAGTATGAAAGAATTGGGCAGTCCTTAACTTTGTGTTTAGTAGTATGTCAGATCATCTTTGATGTCACTTGGATCATATCTTCCCGAGGCAAGGGAGTTAACTGACTATAAAAGTCCAGTTTCCACCCTTGCCGAAGAAGGCTGTAATTATCCCCCGCCGCGCGAAAGCGCGAAGCGGGGGATATAGTATTCACGACCGTCCGTACGTCCGTCCGTACGTCCCACCTGTTTGTTGCCGCGATATCTCAAGAACTAAACACTGGATTGTCTTCATATTTGGAACTATGGTGTATATACAGACTCTGCAGACACCAGTCGGTTTTGGTGACCTTGATCCCATTTTCAAGGTCACAGCAGACAAATCTGCTTTTAGAGTTGGAAAACGGTGTTGCCGCGATATCTCAAGAACTAAACACTGGATTGTCTTCATATTTGGAACTATGGTGTATATACAGACTCCGCAGACACCAGTCGGTTTTGGTGACCTTGATCCCATTTTCAAGGTCACAGCAGACATCTGCTTTTAGAGTTGGAAAACGGTGTTGCCGCGATATCTCAAGAACTAAACACTGGATTGTCTTCATATTTGGAACTATGGTGTATATACAGACACCGCAGACACCAGTCGGTTTTGGTGACTTTGACCCCATTTTCAAGGTCACAGCAGGCAAATCTGCTTTTGGAGTTGGAAAACGGTGTTGCCGCGATATCTCAAGAACTAAACACTGGATTGTCTTCATATTTGGAACTATAGTGTATATACAGACTTCGCAGACACCAGTCGGTTTTGGTGACCTTGATCCCATTTTCAAGGTCACAGCAGGCAAATCTGCTTTTAGAGTTGGAAAACGGCGTTGCCGCGATATCTCAAGAACTAAACCTCTCGATTGTCTTCATATTTGGAACTATGGTGTATATACAGACACCGCAGACACCAGTCCGTTTTGGTGACCTTGACCCCATTTTCAAGGTCACAGCAGGCAAATCTGCTTTTGGAGTTAGAAAACGGTGTTGCCGCGATATCTCAAGAACTAATCGCTGGATTGTCTTCATATTTGGAACTATAGTGTATATACAGACACCGCATACACCTGTCAGATTTGGTGACCTTGACCCCATTTTCAAGGTCACAGCAGGCAAATCTGTTTTTGGAGTTGGAAAACGGTGTTGCCGCGATATCTCAAGAACTAAACCTCTCGATTGTCTTCATATTTGGAACTATAGTGTATATACAGACACCGCATACACCTGTCAGATTTGGTGACCTTGACCCCATTTTCAAGGTCACAGCAGGCAAATCTGTTTTTGGAGTTGGAAAACGGTGTTGCCACAATATCTCAAGAACTAATCGCTGGATTGTCTTCATATTTGGTACTATGGTGTATATGGCGGGGGATATTTCGTCACTCTGTGACAAATACTTGTTCTTACTTACATTTTGGCTGGAATAACGAGTCTATCGATCAGATCGTCTTGACTGGGTTCCGCCATTTTATTTGAAGCAATTGCAAGTGATATGAGAGGTGGAATCTGATTGGTCAATAGGGGGCACATAGAAGGGACATAACTCGGAATATCCACCGATGGCTCTCGGTTCTACTGCACCAAATCAGAACCAGTTGGGATTTTTTATGTCTTTTAAATGTACATCCATCCAGTTATTAAAACTGACCTTGTTGTTCTATATTTAGTATTGTCTTTTTCAACATGGTGACATTTGGTGCAAAACAAAAGGATTTTTATAAATCTTTGGCGCTGTAAGAGGTTTTTCAAAATGTTGATGAATATGAACGGCATACAAAATCCGGGTATTCCGTTATTGGTATTATGATGAAAAGCCCCGAGTATTTTAATGGAATGCCCGGGATTTCAGGCATCTTGACTACTTTCGAGGTTTAACAAAAAAATGAAAGTCCCGTAAATACACTAGGTTGAAAGTCACTGGAGGTTTATAAAACGACAAGCGACATTTTCTTATTTTCACATGGCAGTGAATGGGTACCTGGAAGGATGAAACCTCAGAATGGAAGTGAAATTGAAATACACATGAACAAAAATATGTCACATTAACAGGATTGGTCCTCAATCACCTCTGAATCTGAATATGAGATAGTTGAGTGAGGGTCCAACAGTGAAGTCAAGACCCTGCCTCTCAGGATGGATACATTATTTTGGGATCGACAGGTACAAGTACCGGAAATTCAGTAGAAATATTTACTTTGGTGCTGTTCAAAAATCTGACAAAAAGAGCACCTGTACCTTCTTCATACTCGAAACTTTCGATTAGGTTGGAGAGTGTCGCTCATTTAGTCTTACAGAAGTATTTCCCAGATATGTGTGTCTCAATCAGTGTACGCTTATAATATGTTTCCGCATCAAATACATTTCAACAAGTATTGTTTTTATTAAACTCAAGGAGATACTTCCAAAGTTTCTAGCGCTTTGAAACGTGATCTAAGGGAGATAACAATGTCTGGATTAAGAACTGAACTGAAGCGGCCTTAAAATATTTATCTCAACCGGGTCGCAATGAAATGAAGCTCGTATCAGGTAATCTGAATAAATCCCCTGTGGACATCAGCCTGTACATGATGGAGCCTGGACCACACAAACCAGAGATGTTAAGAGCAATATCCCACACCGTCGGAGTACGCTGACACACAATTAACCAGTCACCGATTCTGACCTCTGGGTCCATTAGGCCGCCTCGACAAACATAGGTTGCTGGGTATCAAAAACAAACATATGCCCCAGCGATGCAGACCGCCTCCGTGGTCTAGTGGTAGAGCGTCCGCCCGGAGAGCGGAAGATCCAGGGTTCGATCCCGGGCCGCGTCATACAAAAAGACGTTAAAGGATTGTACTTGTTGTTACCCTGTCTGGCGCTCGGCATTAAGGGGCTAAAACAAGGACTGGTCGGCTCGGAGTCAGTATGCTGTGTCTGAGTGGGGTATTCATGTTAAACTGCGGCATGGTATCTCAGTGAGCTAGCACTATAAATCGGCATCAGTCCGGACTAGTACAAGCAGCCACACACACACATACACGTGCATGCACGTCGCTATATAAGTGCAATAATCTTGGACGCGACGTTAAACCCAATTTCACCTCACCTCACCTCACCTCACCCAGCGATGCACTTTCGCCGCTTTACTGGCGCTTTACCATTCAATCTTTAGGTGAAGTAAGGAGATGGGTTCATAGAAAAGGCGCGCACACATTGAAGTGTGAAACACCATTTCATTTGCATGCACATTTTATTAACGCGCCACTCATGTCAGATATATAGAGTCATGTCAGAGTTTTTTTAGAGCGTGTGGGGAGG